CTTTTCGATAACGTCGCCAACTTTCTTGTACTTCCATGAATGCGGTGGTTCCCCCTCCCTCACATCAATTACCGTCCCCTCGCCGCCAGAAACTTCCACGACATGATGCCACCTCACATTGTACACAAGGTTGCCAAAAGAAAAAAGAAAAAAATGTGCCTCTTTCAAAATAAAAACTCAACCAAAAACGATTATCGTAAAAGTTAAAAAAAAGAAATTGCCAAAGTTTTTGCGGCTTCGTGAATAAAATGGCGGTGAAATAAAAGCCGCATTTAATTAAAAAGAGATGGAAAAATGATACATATATGCCTTGCCTAAATTAAGTAAACAAATTGCTTATTTTCCCGCTGCAGTATTGCTGGACGAAGAGCAGCTCCACCCAAAGTATATTTCCGCATGCCCAAAAAGATATAAGTTTTTTTTTGTTTTCCCCACGCAAAACCTTTTTTTTTTTTTTTATTTTCCCCTTGATATACTACTATTTTCTCAAAGGACTGAGAAGCCAATCGGGATCAATTACTTTTCGGGGTGAGCAAAGGGCTCCAAACCGTCGAAAACGAGTTTCTCCATCGCAAGTAACTATTTTAACAAACAAATTACTCAATTGCGTCAAGCCGTCCCTCGTCATTTGGAGGGAAGATTTCAAATTAGAAAACCATGTTGCGTGATTCATCAATCCTGGCATTAGAGCAGCCCAATTCCTTTGAGCGCCAGAAAGATGAATAATTGCAGGGTGGGCCACGACCTCGCCGTAAGGACATTGAAAAAAATTGTGATGGTAATCAAGGTTCAGAATACCGTACGGGATGCGAAAATCAAGAGACACATTAGTGGTTCGTGTTAGGCTCCACACATACAACAGCGCCCAGATGCTCTGGTCACACCACCACTGGTCGGTTAATCCCAAAACCTTCTTATATGCCTTCAGTGCCTCTCGAATGGCCCACACCCGCCCTACCATTCCTCCGGCATTAAGGAAGAGGCCTTTCGCTGATGTGAAAGGCACCATGCCCTGATCTGCAGAGGCATTCATAGCTTCCCAAACTTTACTGTAGTACCAAACACACTTTCTAGCACGCTTTTGTGGTCCGGAAGAGATCAAAATTTTCATCAGCGGCGCAAAACATAGTCTTTCAGAAGAAAACAACAAGGGGGCTGTCGCCTCCCCCCGATGCACCGCCGTGACGTTGAAGACGGCTGCGGTAGGCGCTGTTGCTTCCAAGAAACGATCCACAGCTTGTTTTACTTGGAAAGATCCAGTAATAAAAGCGTCACCACCATCAAACGCCACCACCACGTCTTCATCGCGCAGACCCTCATTATCAATGTAGTCGAGAATCCACAATGGTCTCTTCGCGTGATTGTATCGTTTTCCAAACCCTATCGATACCACAGACACTTCCGACAGAAGCGAACTCAACAGCATCCGACACCAGCCGGGAGATTTTCGTGTCTGAATAACAAGGAAGACAACCCGTGGTCTTTCTGACTCAGATTCGGCCTTAACGAACTGCACATCATCTTTTACCAACGTTTCCGAAAGGATGAGAGAAGAATCGTTTTCCCAGTTGCTCGCAGCTATCAGCAATGCCAACACCAAAAAAAACTGCAGCAACAAAAACGTCCTTTTGAAATTTTGATTCATCAAAATAGAATAAATTACGCGACGACGCATTTAAAAAAAAAATTTAAGGTGTTACGGTGTTCTACTGAAGAGGCAAACTTGGCAAAAAGGGAATTATAAACAAATAGTGTCAATGCCTTTTAAAAAATAAGATGTCCAAAAACTAAATAAGGAAAAAAAGGGAAAAAGGCAGCGACGCGACTACAGTGAAAGAAACGGCAATAAAATGAATTGCAGGCGCCCTCACGTCGACGCGCACAACACATCCGAGTGGGCCGGGAGCACAGACCGAACCGCTCGGAAACACACGCATCAAATCCGCAAAACAAATTCGCAGTGAATCGACAGGAACTCCCCGCCCAAAACAAATTTATAAAGTGGCGTTTTTCAAGGGGAATCCGCTTTTACGACAACAGCACGGACGCCTCGCAGGAACTTCTTGCAAATCTCCCTTCGCAGGTCCGCAGGAAAACGCAGCGGAATAAAAAAAGAGCGCAACGACGCAAAAACAATAATCCTCCTCACCGACCAGGTGGCAGGCCGCCCTCGCGCAAGTGGACAAAACACAACTTCACTCCGGTCTGGTAGTGGTGGTCGTCTCGCAACATTTTTTTCCTTCTCGTAGCAGTGCACATCCCCCTCCCACAAATCATTTGTTCGGGCCATGCTCCTGCGGCCAAACATCGCGCTGCTGGATCCCGCGGCACAGTCGTCGGCACAGAAGTGAGGGGAGGAAGAGGGATCGCAGAAGGTGCGAGCAAATCCGAATTCGGTGGCGGTCGCTGCAGTGAAGACTGACGTCCCACGCGGTGTCCCTTTTCTAGGTCCGGTCCTCACCGTGCCATGCGCTCAGCGTGCGGTGCGCCGGCCGCTCCAAGCATCCACACGTGCTTGCGTCTCACCGTCGCTCCCAGCCCGTTCGTTGGCTGCATCAGGGATGCCACCATCCAGAGACGGGCATAAGGACGTTGAATCCAACAAAACCTTCAGAGGCACCCGGTGGGCCAACGACGACCATCACTGCGGGATGTGCGGCACTTCCGCCGCTCACCTCAAATCGCACTTCTACGCCTCCTCGAGCAGCAGCAGCAGCAGCATAAATACAACGGTCCACTAGGGGCCGTCACCAGCCATTGCAGGAAGACCACTGTGCCTCAGTGCTATGGAACCCGAATTGCATTGACGGGCCACTTCGGAAAATCCTGTCGCATCCTCCCCCATTATGCGGAAACACATCCGTCGTGCATGTGGCCACCGCAGCCAAATGAATCCGGTCCAAATACCCTCCAAATCAAATTCCCCTGCCCTCAAGCAATTCCTTCCCGTCATATAGGGATTCCAATAGAGACTCCTTCCACACTTCCTCATGCGCAAACACAATAAATAATTTCTCTCTTTTTTTGTGTGTGTCATAAAAAAAACACTACTCAAATTAAATGTAAAGACTCTAGAAATACAACATTAGTAAACATTGTTTAAGCGCAAGGTTGAATAGTCGGATCCATTTCCGTACAGAAGTTCACCAGCAACTAATGAGTCGCTCATGTTACTTCCCAGATGAAAGGAAGCGTCGTGTTTCCACCTTTCCCTAAATCACCTTCCGTGCATACCTTTTTCACTCCGTCATTTGGGAGAGGGGGAAAAGGGATATTTCACTCACTAAAAATGCGACAGCAGGGGTTTTTTTTTGGGTTTTGATTGCTCTCCAAACGGCTGCCGCCGCCCCACCCACCCGCCAAAAATCAGCCAAATAATAAGTTACAATCAACGGATGATAAATCCCTGGATACGCAAGAGTATGCGTCACAATTCACATCATGGTTTGGTTCCCACGGTCAATGAGAATCACCTGCACATGGTCGGAAAAGTGGACCTTCTTTGTTCTTGGCCTTTGTGTTGCTGACTTTGCCGGTTTTCTACTTGCACGGGGCGTTTGGCAAAACCAAAACTTTAACGGATGAACGTCGACAGCGTTGCAGCAAAAAACGGACCGTTTCGCACGTCGCTTTCGTTTCTTTCCCTTGTTGTGGGCGGGTGCTATGGAGTGAAGTAGGGTATCCCAAAAGCACGATATGGCACGTGCACCATCCGCCATCTTCTGCTCTTCTCCAAAACGCCCAGTCAAGAGCGGAGAAAAAATTATGAAAAATACGGAGATAGAAATAATTAAAAGAAAAATGCTTTGAAAGGAGTAAAATAGCAAGACGGCCCAGCACAGAGCTGCAGCATGTTTGCATCTAGTGTCAAACAAAAATAAGAATAAAATTTTAAAAAATGAAATTTAATGTGGCTCTGGACAGAAATGGAACCGGGAAGCCCAAAATAATGGGTCACCCGCCAGCGCATCGTGAGGGTCAAGATACCGATAGTGTAACTCCTCGCTCGCGGCAATGTTTTTTGCGGCCCTCACAAGAACATAAAAGGGGCAATGATCCACGCTGATATCATCTTCAAAGACCTGGGGAAATGTCTTGGACCGTCGCAACAAGGTTCTGAGAGAATGCATTGTGTCCACGCACACTGCCACATTCGGTTCATCGTCATCGTGATTGATGAGATCCACAAATGGTACAAACGCTGGACCGCCAAACACCTCGTTCGAGCGAGGTACATCCACACAGCGGCTGCTGCATATGCCATGTGCGAGGCTCATGACTTCAACTGGTATATTCCAACCCAATTTTGACATGTCTTCGCAAAGAACGCCTATAATTGACTTGTTAAGACCTTTGATGATTTTTATCTTTGCGTGCGCCGACCTACCCAATCTGCGCTGGGTATCAGCGTCAATTTCCTGTTCGATGGAAATCCAGTGCAGATAGCTATTGAGAGAGCATTCCTCAAGCAGCAAAACAAGTGCACAAAACACGGTGGTGACGGCACTTAACTTGGGGTACTCCACCTGAACACCGTCGACTGCCACCGTGTATGATGATACGCCGCCCATAAGCGTCGGGCCCCACGGCGACGCAGCCGCGATGTTTGCCGCAATGCAGTGATAAAAGGGAACGAAGCACAATAATTCGCCCTCGTCCAACCCAACAGAGTTTGCATCACAAAAAATTCCGTAAACATCTTTCGCACGACTGACTTCGCGCTGCAGCGCAGGGTGCACTGCCACCCCCAGCCGCCTAAGAAGATGACGCCACATCAAAGGCGCAAGCACAGAGAAAAAGAAACAACGCTGAAATACACAAAAAAAATGCCAAAAAAAAAAAGAAGCAGCTATAATACAGTCAAAACCTTTTAAAACGTCTTCCCACGTAATAACTAAAACATGACGAAGTTTTTTGCCTTGTTGTGTGTGTGTTTGTGTGTGCTTTCACAATGAAACCACATATACACAAAAAAGGCAAAATGCAACGACACCCGTGTGTCACTCCTTATCCTTCTCATAAGTTGAATGTGAAGCATTCGTAGGAGCGGAGGCTTGAAAAGCAGCTCGCGCCTTCTCGGCACGTTCACGCTGACGCGCTTCAATTGCATCAAACTTTGAAAAGAGCGCCGATTGCGCTTGAAGAGATGCCCCGCGGAGATTTACTTCTCCCTTGCGGTCGTCCATCTCGTATCCCGCTATGCGATAGCGTTGCGCCATCTCTCGCTCCTTGTCCCGATGCATCCGCTCCAGTTCTCTCTCATTATTCATGTGCAGATGCGACAGTTCCTGAATCTGTTCACGAAACGAAGCAGTTAACTTCTCCCGCTCCCTATCAAAGGAAACACGCATGTCTTCCGTAAGTTTCTGATAATAGGTCTTAAGTTCTACCTCTTTTGATGCCAACGCTACTTTTGCTTCTTGTTCTTCTTGCGCATGCTGCAGACGCATCCTCTGCTCGCGTTCTCCAAGTTCTCTTTCTCTCCGAGCAATATCCATCAAAAGATGCTGCTCCCGCTCATTGTGCCGCTGCTCCAACAGATTCATCTCATTTCGACATTGATCAAACCATCGTTCCTTGTCCTGTTCGATGCGTAAAACATTTTCCTGGTTATCTTTTTCCTCCTTTTCCTTCAATAATTTCATCTGTTTCAGAACTTCATTCTGTTGCTGGTGCTCAAATTCCATTACGCCCTGCCAGAATTTTGACAGCTGTTCCTCACGCTCCTTCATTTTTTTGATCATCACCTGCTGAATATTCGTTACTGCTTCTTTGAACCCCCGCAATATGTCCTTCTCACGCTCGTCATAGTAGTGGATGATATCCCTTCGATTTTCCTCAAAGACTGTATATTGCTCCTGCAAGGCGCATTCCTGTTCCCGATTGGACTCACTTATCCGCCGTCGAAGATCCCTCACCATCTCTGTGGCATGCTCCAAAGAGGCTTCAAGCTCCTTGATACGTATTTCTGCCATCATTCGACCTGTCTCCGCTACCGTCGCGCGGTCGTTCACATGCGCAACTCGCTGCTCAGCCTCTCGAAGCCGCATGCTAAGACTGTAATTCGCATTCTCAAATTCTATGAGCTGTTGAGACTTTTTTGCAAGCAGACCTTTAACATTTTCGTTGGTAGATTGGAGGTCTTTATATTCGAATGAAAGCGCATCCAAAGCTTTACGCTGTTGGTTAATCATAGTCTCGGAGGCATCGCGATACGACGCCGCCTCCTGCTCGTGTGTGAGTTGAAGCTTCACCACCTGATCGTAAAAGGATGACATGCGAGAGACGGACTCTTCGGTTTTCCTCCTCAACTCCAGGAATGCATCCCAGACTACAGTATCATCGCTTGTTTTTAAGTGGTCCTTCTTACTCCCGCACTTTGGACAGGGCATATATTTCACCTCTGGAGGGTTGCCCGGGGATCTCACGCGCAGCGGTGATAAAGAAAAACTTATCTCAGGCATCTCAGGCAATCTCCCTCCTGCATCCACAACAACTTGAGATGTGGGCGGTAAACATGGTGGCTGCAGAGGTAATTGCTGCGTCACGGTCTCCGCCTGTTGCGGTGGCTGTGGCACGGCATCCACCACAGATGTTGGATTATAAAACGGCGCCGTGACGGGGTGCGTTTCCACCGAGAACACAGATGTTGTTGGAAGACTTGCATGCGCCTGCTTTTGCCTCGGCTGAGAGGCCCCTGTCTGCACCTTTTCACCCTCATTCGCTACCCCATCCCTGCCCCGCAGATTTTTCTTCGCGCCCAGTGGGTCTGTGCCCCAAGGGCTCGGGGGTGGCTGCCATCCGCCTCCCCGCTCCCGCCGTTCCGGATTTGTCGGCACCGCCCCCTGCACCTCATCATCGCTGTCAAAAAGGGTGTGCATGACTCCCGCTTGTGTCTCAACCCCCCACACCACCCGGGTCGCTCACGTGCGTGAAAACAAAAGAGAAAAAAGGAGTGGGCACGTAAAGATGTGCGTAAAAAAAAAAGGAAAAAAGCTCATAAAAATGCAAAATCGGAAAGATTAAGCCAAACACTTTTCTTCAGGAAGCATTTCCTCGCGCATTCTTTATTTATTCTTACTTCAATTCAAATTTATCACTCCCCTTCCCGGGCTTCTCTTCTTTCATTTACTCTTTTCTTCGTTTAACAAATACAATAACATTTATTCGATATCATTTTTTTGTCTTGGCGCAAACCAAATTTGCCCATGATGTAAGACCGGGAGGCTTAACCCCTTTTGAGGCCGAGTTGCCCAATTGGGATGGAAGAAAAAATTCAAACGGGGGCGTAACACAACGGAGGTGACGATACGCACGTTGCTGCCCTGACGGGTGAGTAAAATAGACCTTGATGCGTTTCTTGCCATTTGCAATGGTCTCCTCCGCTCCACAGACAAATTCACCAGCAAAGTCCTGCAGTGCACGAGACACAACAATGGCGTTCACGTTCTCGCCATCCATGAGGATGACACGCCCGCAAACAACCTCTTTCCGGTCACAGATCTCATTAATAAAAGTTAATGGATTATTCCTCTCCGGATCCGCAAGGGCGTCACTAAGCAATGGAACCGGAATAGAAGTTCTTGTTGTCTTTGTAAGAAGGCATGATCGATTGGGTCCAGCATCAACAGCCTCGGAGTGAATATGGTAATATTGACACAGGGAATGGATGGCCGCACGTTTCTCCGGGGGCATCGGCTTCAACGACGACAATGTAACGTTGCTCAACACAAAACGCTCTAACTCCTCTTCAATTGTTCGAATCCAGGTCAGATGTGTGCTTCCAAAATCCCACAAGAATAAAGAATACTTTACTGTTGTCGTTGGCGCCGACGAAGGGGCTATTTTACTGAGACCGGCCAATACTTCAAGTCGCTGTTCAAACAGACAATTTGCATTGCATTCTACATTCATTTTCTCACCTGAGTGCTCATGCATGTACGACAATAACTTCTTGCATGTAAAATGTTGAGTGTTCCGCCCACACTGACAACGACACTCCACAGTCTCCAAACACTGCGGACACTTTTTCGAGGGGTGGCATTTTGCCCTACAGGCATGCCCACACTCAGCATGAACCTTCCCGCAGGGCTGTACGCAAGGGTGACGCTCATCGACACACAAACCAGGATGGCAAACACGGGAACACTCATGACCACAAGACAACATTTTACCACATTTAGAACCGCAACAAACAAAAGAGGCACTGCAAGAAACATTCTTCAACAAGGTATGCCCCCCAGCACATAGTTTCTCCACAGGAAAAACACATGGAGGACAATCACCGTAGTGGCAATCGTGTTTTACTGGTGGATGATTGCAAGAAAGTGTAAGAGTGCAGGGTCGAGTGCATTTGGGTGGGGATGTTCCACAAGGCTGAGGCGGCATCAGAAATTCCGCCCCACAGCGACAAACCAGGCGCTCCGAAACCACATGAACACACGAAGGACACATCCCACGATGGCACAGCTCCAGACAGGCATGGCCACACGGAAGTTTCCTATTGCATTTCCTGTTACACTGGTGCACAACACTATTGTGTTGTTTGCGGTATGAGCAGCAAGTAACTCGACATTCATGCTTTCCACATGATAACTTTGTCTTGCAGACCATATTGCAACGAAAACCATCTTGTTTTGCACAAGGCACCAACTGTTGTGTGGCTCCGCAGACACATTTGGTCAGGACACGTTTCTCACATGGTTTGCATTCGCCCTCATGACACAATGCCTGGCAAGTGTGACGCTGGCAGTCTAGTACACGTCCACAAATGTTACCACATGTAGGAATAGGGTCACTGCAATGCTTTCTCGTGACTGTTAAGGGCACCAAGCCGCAAGGGCATGTCACGATGATAGAAGGATCCCTGTCGCATGGGGGGCAATTACCCAAATGACATATCAAGCCACAAACGTGAACACCACAACGCAATGTTTTACCACACACACTCCCGCACGAAAATGATGAAAAACCGCAGGGGAGTTCTCTTGTTTCCAACCCGCAGTAACACGTGGCCAAAGATTTTTCAGGACATGGTTCACAGGCCCCAATATGACACTTAGCTTTGCATTTGTGTATTAGACAATTGAGTGTCTTCAAGCATGTATTATCGCACAATTTCTGTGGATCTGGCTGGCCACATCGCCAAGTATATGTTGTCGTCCCACAAGGACACGATTTTGGACCAGTAAAAGAAGAACATTCAGGGCATGGTCCAGGATGACACTGCACTGGACACGGGTGATGGCACAAGTGTCGTGTCTTGCCGCATGTCTGGCCACAACTGTGTGGTGTAATATGCGGATCGTACGGTGGATCTCGCAACTTTCCACAAAAGCAATAATACTTCGATACAGGCTCTTGCGTTGCCTGACAATGTGGACAACGAAATGAGGTACCAATCCCACTTTCGTTCTGTTTTGCCCATTTTTTTATGCAGTAAAGATGAAAAATACGGAAGCAGTCATTGCATGACCAGACAGCAACGTCATGACGGATATTGCACAAACAGCTGGCACATTCGTAGCGCAAAAGAAGTAACTGCTCAATGATTTGCTTACTGCGGTCGGGAAGCACTCCAGAAATATTCTCGTGGAACTTGTCTGCTCCCTCCAGACTCAAAAGCATTACTTATTAAAATAATAAGAGTAAACAGAAAACGATTGACTTGTATAAATGGATATATGCATGGAGCCGAGCAGACAATCCAAGTCTGCTTTTCTCTCAGGAATTCTAGCTATTACCGCTTCCTTTGAAGGGCGGAGTACACGGCCCTCACTAATCGCCCCGGCGTGCTCCAAGTGCCGCATCGAAACAGGTACACACACACACAGAGGGAAAAAGAAAAGAAAAAGAAAATTTTCAAACATAATACCGCAACCACACCAAGCAAACAGGCAGCAAATCCATCAATTTATATGCATGCGAAGAAAAAGGGAGAGAAGAAAACACAAAAAAAGTAGAGAAAAGAATAATGACACGGACAAACAAACACACGCACGCAATTCCGCGAACCCTCTGCCCCCTCTCTCCCTCTCCTCGCGTCAATCCGTTGGCGATTCGTCCTCCATTTCGCGGCATCGTAGTTGATTTAACACCTGCAACATCTTTTCCCGCGCCGAAACTCTATCGGGTGCAGAACGCATCTCATCCACGCCGCAGAGCTCATTACTTTCTGTCAATAAATCCGACACCAGACGGCGAGAAGCATGAAATCCCGCGTGAAGAACAGTGTGGAGCCTTCCGGCTCTTTTTGGTCCAAACCCTGGAAGGGAGGCTAAATCCTCAAGTGAAGCGGTGAGAAGCTCGGCAACGGAGCCATAGCGATGCGCAGCGCGAACAACGTCATTGCGCGTCATTAACTGAGGTGTTTGCGTGAAGGCCTCAATGAGTACTGGTATGGGCGCACTCTCCTTCTTGTTACTTAGTCGGTAATCCACGGAGCCCACAGAAAAAACAGCCAGACCCTCCAAATAGCTTGCACACTCCTCTTCTGTCCAACAAAGCATCACAGCGCAACGCAATTCCACGCTGCAGTGGAGATTGAGCCACGCCAACACATCTGGGCGTGGATCTGTCGAGTCCACCAGCAGTAAAAGAACAATGCGACTTCCAGCTGTGATGACCTGCGCATTGGCAAAAGAGATTCGCTGCGATACGGCTGCCCTGTATGATTCATCGCATAAACGGTTTAGGTCGTTTACGTACAAAACGCATGTTCTTCCGCAAACAAAGTCGCAAACGTCATTGTCCATCCCCTCCACTACATATCGGTGTCGTTGCATGAGGCGGATTATTTTCCCTCCTTTGCACGCCTCTGACACCATCACCGTGCCTCGTGGAAGTGGAGGCATTTTTCGTCTTAACTACAAAAAAAAAAAAAAAAAGAGAGAGAGACAGAAAGGGAAAAAGGGCAAAACAGCGGAGTGTACATACATGTACATCTTTACGTATCCAGATTTGGTTGCCCAAGCACAGAAACATAAAAGGGAGGAAGAAGCCACGCATTCCCTGGTCTCTTAAAAAGAGAAAAGCCTAAATACGTATATGTGACTTTATGCTTCCTCTTTTTTCATAATTCGTAGAAATAGATGGAAATAAAGCCTTTAGCGTTGTTAACAGCGAATGGAAAAATAACAATTCATCCACAAGAAAACTAATATGAAATAAATAAATAAATAAATAAATAATAATAATAATAATAATAGGGAATTATTGAGCCGCACAACCAACGCTTGGACCCTCATCCTCCTCCTTCGCTTCCTCCTCCAGCTCCCTGCGAAGGTGATCCAGCTCCTCTCTCGTCACATAACACACCTCTGCGTCATCGCACTGATGCAGATCCACACTTTTAGGTGGAGGAAGCGCCTTCCGCAAAGCATCCACCTGTGAAGACTCCAGTCTATTCGGAAAAGTGACATTAAATTTAATTACTAAGTCACCGTGCTGACCAGGACGCTGTCGCCGTGGCATGCCTTCCCCAAGCACAACTTTTACCTCCCCGGGCTGTGTGATCTCCCCTCTCTCACGCCGCACTATGAGCTCCCTACCGTCAAGATGCTTAAAAACAAACTGAAACCCACAAAGCGACTCCGCCAGTGTAATTGTGTGATTCATGTGAAGATCGTCCTCCTCACGCACAAACCGTTCATCCTTCACTTGCTCCAAGACAATGACAATATCGCCAGGCTCGCCCGTGTACGGATCGCAGCTTCCCTCTCCACGGAAAACAACCTCATCGTGATGACGCATGCCACGCTCCACGGGCACAGTCAAAAAAGATTCCACCTCCGTCGTTCTTTGGCCATGACACGCAGTGCAGACGTCTTTTGGATCCACCTTCAGTCCAGAGCCCCCGCATGCATCACAAGGTGCTGACATCTGTTGCATCATCATACCCATTTGGCGCACAATGAGCCGCGAGCCGTTTCCCCTACAACTCCGACAGACATTGTTTTTCCTGCTATTCGTGCCACGGCCTTCACAATTTGGGCATGCGACGGCGCGTGAGTGTGGAAGCTCAAACGTCTTGCCATTGTACAGATCGCTTAACGTCACAGGCAATGCATAAGAAGCCTTCTGATTTCTACGACGCCCGCCCACATGATGGAGCCCATCAGGCATCCCACCAAAAAAGGCGTTGATCATGCTCCCCACTTCATCCGAAAAACCAAACATATTTCCTCTTTTTTCTTTATTTCCTTTTTTTTCTTTTTCTTTTCCTCCTTTTCTCTAGAATTTTTTTTTTCTTTTTTTAAGCTTTCTGCAGACGCCTTTGCCTTTCATCGGAGGCACATAGAAACAAAAACACAAACAAAAAAAAAAAAATTAGCAAAAAAAAATATTATTATTATTATTATTATTATTATTATTATTATTATATTATTATAAAGAGAAAATATATAAATTTCAAGCAGCACACGCCAAAAATAAAAATAAAAAATGCGTACACGCACATACAAAAATCAAGTTTATATATTTGTTACACACGCATACATACACATACATACTTATAAACATATGCATGCGTATTTTTTTATTTTTTTTTTTTTTTTTTGATTCTTCGAGGAATAAAAAAAAAAAAGGTTAAAGAATCCTGTCAATTATTCACAAAACATGCCTCATTTTCAACCAGATTTTTAACAAAAAAGAATGTTCGAAATAAAGAAGCCGCCTCCCTCTCCTCTGAAGAAAGCTGCAGCAGGGCATGACCGTCCGAGTCTCGCTTCCCACCCCTCAAAACAGCATCACGCAACTTTTGGCCAATGGGGGAATTGTAGTGCATATCACTGTACTCCATGAACCCCAATGACTCCACCGGTAGAAGACCAACAGAACTGCACAACGCGACAAGGCGGTTCCATGGCACCAAATACTCTGGAAGTTCACTTACGCTTTCCTCCACAGAAATAAAGTATTGCACCCCAAAAGACGGGTCAGGAGGAGTCTCTGAAGGGAACCTCACGCTGTAAAGACTATTGCCAAAGACAGGTCCATGCTCAGCCACTTGACGAAGCAGCTCGACATCACTTACCGTCGTACCAAAAAACACACCACCCGGACGCAACGCCTTGGAAATAGCACGGAGAAAACAAGACATTCGTTGCTCCGTGCTGCAGCCGTAGTGAAGTGAAAACTGACAAGAAACAATGTCCAGGCGCCTCCCCTTCAAGTGTTGATTGAAAAACTCGTCTAATTTAACCGTGAACGCACCCGCCTCATCAAACACATCACAAACCGTAAAGTACGCTATAACACCAACACTACTTTTGTCCTGAGGCACAATCCTCAGACTCAATCCCTTTGAAACGGAATAGCGTCCGGCAGCCTCCGCAACAGCCTCCAAACAGGAGTCCACCATAAATAAATACCGAGGATTGTGGGCCCTCCACTTAAAGAGATCCCCACCACGACCACAACATACGTCTGCCACAGCAAGTTCACCACACTCAGAGTCTTTATCACTGCGTGATTTAGCATAAGAGACAGCATTGCTAATCAACACATTCTTTACCCAATTATTAAATTTTCTCAACACGCTCCGATTCTTTCCAGAGAGTAACTCCCTTGTTTTGCAGGCGTAATGACTATTTATTTTCTCCACCAATTCCCCCATAGGCTCCCCTATCATACCGTTTGGTTTTTGCGTGTTCACAACAGGCATGACATCCAGTACCCTTTCGCGTCCATGCACCAGAAGCCACTGAAGATGCTCAATCACACCCACAGATGTGGACTTTCGATTGTCACCTTTAGAATGAAGAGAAACAATATTCCACCGTCCCGTGTCGCCGTCAAATAAAGCACTGACCGTAAAATCGGACCAGGCGTAACTCCCCCCCGCGTTCGCCAACTCAACGTACAAGTTCTCAGTAAGCTTTGATCTTTCATCATCCATTGGACAAGCAAAGCCTAAACCAGAGCACTCGCTTACTTTACAGTGAATGCATGGAATGTGTTGCTTCTCAGACAACAATCTAACTGTCCAGTACAGATGAATCTCATGTTCACCCTGCATTTGTGACTGCGTAGCTCGAAGAGTCAACTGGCATGTTTTCTTCTCAATGGGTGATTCAGGTGCAGAAACAATTTTCCCCTCCTCTTCCAAATCTGTGGCTTCCTGTAGTGACTTTAAATCTCTATTGGAAACGGTGTCCTCAACACCAAGCATACCAACCAGCACATCCAGTGTGATGTTCTCCACAAGACTCTCCAACACGGAAATGACAGTAACAACAGAATTTGGCTCAGACTTATCCGTTCTTAAACGCTCGATTGACCAGCTCTTCTTGTGACGATCGAACACACACTCCGCAACAACAGACCTCCCTGTCGGTATTCGGAGGGAAAATGGATTCAAAAGACGCATAGCAGATGATAGACGTGAGCGGCCGACACTGTCAGGACGATGACCAAAACGTCTCTTACGAAAAAATAAATCCACCACATATTCATCGGTGCGGCTCTCAATAGCGGCAAGACTCCAGTCTACGGACAGCATGGAAGGCCACTTCCACTTGAGTTGTTCTTTACTTGCCCCATGAACAAGATCAAACTTCTCCGGGGTAAAGATGAATCCATCACTCAGTGTCCATCCATGGGGCCCATCGTAGTAATACATCACACCTCCTGTATTTCCACTTGTGTCAGCTCGACGAAGGCGGGCAACACATTCGCCAAAGTTTTTAACGGGAAACATTTCCTTGGCAAACACATGTAACAACGGCTTTTGGGTACGCAAATTTTCGGAGGCGTGTATGGAAGCAATAATATGATCCCTCAGCACATCATACCGTTTGGACATCGGCCAACGCGTCAGACACACACCCGTACCAACTGCATCCTTGATTGGAGTATACCGAAAAACATCAAAACAGCTGTAAATTGGTCTCGTCTCCCTCGTTTTCAAATCACGCAATGCAAGCATCATTTCTCCATCAACGGCAAACGCAGAAAGTGTGGGGGCCGCATATTCTTCTAATAAAAGATACGCCTGTTCCATGGAACGATCAAAGCAATAAGCCATATGTCGTGTACCCTGAGTTCGCTCCGCCATGATAATATTCCCATTAGAGAATGCTCCAGAATTAGATTCTGGGCACGATTTTAAAGTAAATGTTTCCATCTCGCAGTTGGATGTTTTTGATCCTTCGGCCTCAATATAAAAGGAACCAATGGATATCTGTAATGATCGAGAATTGCTCTGTGAAGTGGCACCCTGAAAAAATTGCTGCCGCATTTCTTCCAATGCAGCCACATCATCGAGACGTAAGATGTTGCAAGTCGGACCTTCAGCGTCCCGAAGTACCCAACACGGAAAAGCATGCACGCAAAACGATACCAAAATGGCACGGACGCCATCGCTCTTCTCCGTCAAAAAGTACTGGTTGGAGCGCAGCATCGCTGTGTGGGACTTCCGCAAAGGCGAGCACAACGGTCCCATAAACTCTCCATCGCGGCTACAGAGAACGGCCTCCGCCACGTACGAGAACAGGAGCCGCGGTATGCCTGTTGACTCGCTAGATTTACGAAAACATGTGCGCTGCACCAAATCACGGTAGAGTACAGAAAAAACAGAACCACCTGCGCGCTGTGTTTCCGTCGGTGGAAAACAGTGCAGGGAATAAACAAACTCCTCATCAACAGCGAGAAACAGACGCCGCCCAAACAATTTTTCAGCCTCGTTGTGTAACTGCGAGAGAGAGCTCACGGACTTCATTCCTTCGCCGTTGCAGATACACCTCAAATACATATAAAAAAAGAAGAAAAAAGAGCAAAATCATTTTTCCAAAAGCCTACATTTGGCTCTGTTTGTGTCTGTGTGCACATGCGTGCAGAGGGCGGAAGAGCACAAAACACCAAAAAAAAAAGACCAACAATTTATGTGCTCGTAAAATTCCATCGGAGGCAGCAGTCAAACGGTAAACAACAAAAAAAAATGGATTAATGAATCATTTGTTTTTTTTTTTTTATGCGAAAGTCATTCGCCAACAAAGGCAAAGACACGCATTCGCACGCAATTCCGATGCCGTTGCAAAAGAACTGCATTCTCCGCGTTTACCTCTTTTTTTTTCCCCCGAAGAAGTTATTACATGGGCCGAAACCACAGTTTTTCACCCCACCGCCCACCGCAATGCCACACACACACAAAAAAAAAAAAAAAAGAAAAGAAGAAAAAGAGGAGGAGGAAAAAAAGAGAAAAAAAAAACAAATAATTAAACTGCAGACAACAAAAAAAAAAAAAGAAATTAATAAAAAGGGGGAAAAAAGTAAACCCGCGTAATACAACCAGACAACGGCCCCGTAGAAAATAAAATCCTCAAAAAGAAGAGGGAAAAAAAAAGGGCATTTCATCCCATTAAAATTCTCGTTCACTTTTGTGTGTGTTTTTATCCAATAAAACACCGCCAATGCTTTCACTTTTTATTATTTTTATTGTCCATTCATATTTTGGTGATGCATGCATGTGTGCATGTGTGTGTGTGTGCACGCCAATGGTGATAATTCCAGGTGGCAGGAAAAAACTCACATGAACGAAACACACGCAACGTCAAACATCAAACGCACAAGTCAAGTCAGCAAAAACCATAGAAACAATAACAATGGACAAAAGAAAAGAAAGAAAGAAGGAGAGATTGTGATCTGACTTTGTGGTTCTTCGCGCAAAAAAAAAAAAAAAAATCAAAAAAAAAAAAAGGGATTTTTTTTCCCCCCAGACGCAAACACACACAAAAAGAGAAAAAAGAAAAAAAGTCCGCAGTGAAAACGAGCGCCAAGTCACACAAATTCCATAAGAAAAACAAAAAGGCGGGAAGAATTCCTCACGTGCCCTTTTAGAAAAAAGAAAAAAATGAACAAAAAAAAAAGCATCCAACAATTCTCAGACATCCTCCTAAATTGTTTTTTTCTTTTTTCCCTTGCCAATTCCTCCTTCTTTTTGCTTTCCACTCCCTTAAAGTACTCACTGTTCCATTTTCTGTCCTGCTTCACGCGTCACCGGTACTGTCACACAGCCACACCATTGCTGACGTGCATGGCGCCCCATCCAAGAGGATATTTATAATCCCTACACACACACACACACACCGTTTTTCAAAGACAATGTTGGAGGGGGGAGGCGCTCGGGAAAAAAAGGGCGTTCACAGATAAAAATACATATATACATATATACATGTTTATTTATATATAGACGTATATATAAATATACATAAAGAAATATATATATATTTATGTATTCTCAGTACCGCCGCACAGTAGCAACAGTGATGACGACAAAAATGCAACATTACAGCAACAAAAATGCATACTGAAACCGAAGTAACAAGCAAAAACAAAATCATATTTAAATTGATGCCGCTACTCGTCCAAAAGAAAAAAAAAAAAAGGGAGAGAACCCTACATGGGCACGTGGTAGATGAAAAAGCAAGCTCCACACACGAACACACACCAAAGGAGGAGAAGGAGGGAAAAAGAAAAAAAAAAGGAAATAAAAATGGGTGAACAAAAAAAAGAAAAAAGATGAAGATCGTGGCGAAAAATGCCGGTCGGCCTTCCTCCCCTTCAGGAGACATCACATATACTCAAAATAAAAACAAGAAAAAAAAAAGGGCAAATATCATACTTTTTTGTCGCTTCTGAAACTAAACAGTCCGATATCGTCCAACCTACGCAGGTGGAGTGAAGTGGGAAGGAGCAAAAAAAAACAAAAATGACACCGAGTTACTGTAAAACAAAGCAACGGCAGAACAAAACAGAAAAAAAAAAAAAAAAAGGCTTGTAATGTGGGATTAAACCATAAGACACGAATTTATACAAAAAAAAAAAAAAAAGAATATATATATGTGTATGTATGCATTTAGATGGAGAGATAAACATGTAGCCTCCTTTGTTTTCAGCGTAGACCGGGAAATAAAGAAAACCAAAAACCAAAAAAAAAAAAAAAAAAGGAAAAAAAAATTTTTTTCTTTAATAAAAAAAAAAAAAGGAAAAAAGGGGAAAATACAACAAAAATGAGAAAAAAAAAAAACATTCCGAAATAAAAAGATTTTGCAAGACACCCACAACCACATCTCATAATATATTATATATATATATATTCCTTCCCCCCTCCTCTCCCACTGCTACATGAGAGCGGGGGAAAGCCAATTCTACATGCTGTAGGTTTCTATTTGTCGTTTTCCGACCATATGCGTTTTGTTAACGCATATGCGTTGTTATTTATTTGTGTAATTCTTTTTTTTTTTGTTCTGTTTTGTTGTTGTTGTTGGAGAAGTGGGAAAAGTCAAAGGCGGCTCGTGGTCTTAAAACAAAAAACAAAAAAAAGAATGTTGCATGCAAACTGCCCAACAGCAAATAATGGTGCCAGCAGTAATAAATATATAATGATAGATAAATAAATATATACAAACATTTGCTGCCGTATATAAATAAATAAATACATGCATGTATTTTTGTACACAATTTTTTTTTTTTTTTTTTTTGCTTGTGAGTGTGTGCGTCCTTCGTTACAACTCCTTTTTATCCCCTCCCCTCCTCAAGGCGACGTAACGAGGGGAGAAGGCGGAGGAGACGCGGGAGGAGGTGGAGGGTGCACCCCGCCGCCCAGCAAACACAACGCTGTGAAGTTCAAAGGGAGCGACGAGCCGCCGCGAGAAAAACAACAACAACTGAAAAAGAAAAAAAGGGGAAATAAAAAAAAGGAGTACGACAAGTAACTAAGAAAAAAAAAAAAAAACATAAGTACAAAAAAAAGAAGAAAAAAAATCGAACATCCGTAGAAAAAAAAAGAAAAAAAAGAAAAAAAAAAGAAAGAAGATCGACACACACGCAAAAAAAACAAACAAAAAAAATAAATAAATGCACACGAACAAAATATTTTACTGCATCCACGCGTATGCCACAGCCGAACAAAACATAACGTAAGGGGTGGTATGCTGCCGTGATTACCAGCACATGAAGGGGCCCTCCCCCACTCCACAACTTAATCTTCTGTTTTTTATTAACACGTTTAACCCCTTCCCCCTCGCAGGACGTTCCGTATTGCTTCTACCCTCCTAAACGGCAGCAAAATCAAGAAAAAACACAAAAAAAAAATCCCTCACGGTTACCCTGAAATTTGCAGAAAAATTTGCCTCTGATTATACGGGTATCATATTGGCCAATGTGGAACTGGTGAAGATATAAATATTCATCAAACTTTTTTTTTCTTTTTTAGAAATGATCAAGCAGTTTCAAATCATTTTTTATATGGATATAATTGTCCTTAGTCAAAATTAAATAGTAGGAAAAAAAAAAGAAAGGGAAAGCCGCGTTGCACCATTGTCACGAGGATTTTACCTTTCCCTTTCTTCTAGATATGCATATATTTCAATTCTTTGTTGTTGTTTTTTGTTTTGTTTTGTTGTTAAGTTCTCGTTGCCTTGCCCTATTGTGCTCTGTGCGCGTGTCCGCTGTCATATTTATTTATTTATTGTTTTTGTTACGGCCTGTTGATTTTCTTGTGTGTGTGTGTGTTGTTTTTCTTTCGGTTTCTCGTTGTTTGTTTCGTTGATGTTTTTTTTTTTGTTTTTTGTTTTGTTTTGTTTTCGTTTTTTAGGCAATCAGCATCTCCATGGAAGCACTTTTGGTTTGAGTGAAATCGGTGTTTCCCCGTAGAGGTTCTTCCGGCAATAGCAAAGGTGGTAAAAATAGAAGGTTTACACTGAGCCTCTTGGAGAGCCTTTCAAGTTCCGCGAGAGTGGCCTCTTGTGCAAGCCGGCGGTCATCCATAACGTACGACGAGTACGTGAAGGACGCAAGGCCAATCACCACAAAGTCTTGAAGCGTGCCATCCTCCGTAGGAATCCGAACGGCATAGCGACGGAAGGGAATGGACATGGCTCCGACAAACCACACACCGAGAGCAGATACATTTTCCAAGGCTCCTCGGCAGCGGAATGCAAGCTGGGCTTCTTCTTCTTTTTCCTGGATCTCACCGAAACCATCATCGTTAAGGTACTCTTTTAGCTGCAGAAGAAGCGTCCGCCAGGTGTGACGCACGGAGTGAATAACAATTGGGTGATGGTTCATCATTTTGGCATGTTGAAGGCTCTTCTGAGCGGCAAGATGCATGAGGCATTTTACTCCTATAACTTTCTCTCTGGCGCTCATGGCGTTCTTCCTCTCGCTCGCCTCTACAAATTCACGAAAACGGGCTTGTTGGTGCTGGCGAACGGCGTCACGTTGCATATCCATGTCGGTTCGCTGCTGCGGAATGTATTTGTCCAAGAAGGCCCTTGCGGTCGCAGCGTCAGGATGCTTTGAGGCATGCGAGACACAAAAGGTATTTCTACACCTCGGCAACGTGTTTAGAAGTGGTGCTTCCACAAGCCGTTTTGCCGCAAAGGCGTTGCTTGTGCGAGCATACTTCACAGCCGCTGTCGGAGTCTCCAGTACGCAATCCATTACAAAAGTAATAATAAAAAAAGCAAAAAAAAAAAAAAAATGTTTTCACCCCCTTAAAACAAATACGCTTTCGGCGCACCTAACTTTTATCTTTAACTGACCACCAGCGGGAGGCACAAGGAAAAAAAAAATCGGAAAAAATGATGCAGGAGACAAAGTTTGTAATTTGTCATAGAAGGAAACACACACACACACCCAACCAATTAGACAAATGTGCATATATATATATATATTCAACAGAAGGAGGCCTCCTCCATTACACTTTCTCCCTCAAACCATTCCAACGAGAAGATTATTTTTTTTTTTTTAATTTATTTTACGGCAACAATTAGTCCTTTGCTCCATTTACTCCTTTCCTATTGGCGTCTTCGCTTCCTTTTTTTCGTACGCTTCGTTCTAACACAGAAAATTGTCATCACAGTCAATATGTCACTAAACATATACCCATTTTTGCCTTCACACATACTCCATAATAAATAGAGATACACGGGGGTTGGGAGAAGAGCACCGCTATTATTCCCATTCTGTCGTTCCAGGTGGTTTCGCCGTAAGATCATACATGACACGGGATAAAAAATCCAGCTGCTGCAAAGAATTCACCATTTCTTCCAAGGCGGCCAGTGGCATCAGTGGTGTCCCGGGAAGCGCCGGAACGCCCGTCATGAAGTCGTTTGTAACAAAGGTGCGTACCACAACGCTGTATTGACCTTTTTCCTCAAACCCAAGAGGTATGAGAACCACAGGGACTTGGCTCAGCCGACGCACAAGGTCGTATTTGAGTAACGTGGAGTTCACAATTTCGTCTGCAATACGTAATCTGTCGAGAGTAGTGGGAATCAGTGTCGTCTTCGTGACACTATGCGGAGAATCCTCCTTTTTCGGTCCAAACATAAACACCACGCGGTTCACATGCTGCGCAACCTTTGGGATAGCAAGTGCCAAACGACTGAGTGCCTTCCACTCCGCTTCCACCGGAAATCGACCGGTAGAAATAGCCACAGCATAGGCGTACGTTCTGCCATCACCCTGCACACCAACAGTGCGCACTGGCAGAACGCAAGAAGCCGGTTGAAGATCCCTCAGGGCCTCGCCAAGTGGCCTTGCCAGCTCAATACTTGTGTCTCCCCTGCAGAGTGCCTTCAAAATTTCATGTGTTGACTGATAAAATTCGTCTTTGTACGGGGTCCCGTTGCTGCATAGGACGCGGATGGCCAAACCAGGCCCAGGGAAAGGCTGCCGCTGCACCAAATTCGGTGGAATGCCAAGCCGCACACCCAACTCCCGTACCTCATCCTTGTGATAGTCGCAAAGGGGCTCTATAATTCGTCCAGCATCACGCAACTGACGAACAAGAGCGGTATCATTATGATGTGTTTTAATGGCATCCGCTGTAAGACTGGCGTACGATGAACCGGACTCGATGAGGTCGGGGCGTAGCGTGCCTTGGGCAAGCAGCAGATTATTCACATCCAATTGAAGATCTCGAATAACGGTATCGCACACAGACATAAATGTATTGCCAATTATCACACGTTTTTCCTCAGGATCTGTCACCTCACAGAGTTTCCTCGTTCTATACGGCGCACATTTGCGCCTGGCGGGCATTTCAGTCGTCGCTTCTGCAAATTGCGCACGGGCATGCACGACAACCACAGACACCCCGGCCTCCCTCAAAGCGGCCACAACTTCTTCAGTCTCTCTGAGACGCATAAACCCGTGATCAATGTGTACACACACCACCCGCTCAGGTCCGAGAGCCTTCAACAGCAGCACCGCACACACGGTGCTGTCAACTCCACCAGATGCTAGGCACAATACCTTTTGTCCTTGAGCAGTGCGTTCACGAATCATGCGAAGCGCAACCATCTCCCGGTCCTCCATGGTGAAGTTAAAGTGGCAACCACAAAGAGTCAGAAAATTCTTGAATATTTGCATCCCATGCTCTGTCAGCTCCACTTCTGGATGAAATTGCACACCAAACAAAGGAAGTTGCTGATGCTGAACAGCAGCGACGATATTTGCACTGCTGCGTGCTACGACCTTCAGCTGCGGTCCAGAGTCCGTGATCGAGTCACCATGCGTCAGTAGAACTTTTTCTCCTAAACCCAGGCCTTTAAAGAGTGGAGACGATAAATCCATCCATATTTCGTCCTGCCCGTCCTCTCGCACGGCTGCTCGGCCAACGCTTCCCCCGAAAGTCCGTGCCAAAAGCTGCATCCCATAACATATGCCAAGCAGAGGCTTACCCACCTCAAAGAGATCAGCGTTGAATTTGGGAGCATCGTCGTCGTATATGGAGCTTGGGCCGCCGCTTATGATGATGCCTTTTATGGCATGGTCGCCGCGGAGAACTTCGGTTGGGGTGCTGAGAGGCATAACACGCGATTCCACATTCAGTTCGCGAATTTTCCTGTCAATCACTTTGCCGTATTGAGAGCCGGCGTCAAGAATGACGACGTACTCCCGCACGCTCCCTGGGCTGTCCATTGCTTTGGTGCACGCAACAACAGCAACACAACTCGTCCTTCCCTTCCCCCTCTTTCCAAGCACCAAAAAAAAAAAAAAAAAGACATCCAAATGACAGAAAAAAAAAAGAAACTCCAAACAAATTCACGCCTCTATTGAGACGCTCGTGCGTGTGCAATGACAAACCCCAATAACAGTGCGGCAGTTTACTGGGCTCCTTTCAATCAACGGCATGCTTTACAAAAACACGAAGATGTTTACCGCCAAACTCCATGCCATTCATGTTTCCTGCCGCGGCCAAGGCGTCTTCCGCCTCCTCAAACTGCACATCTGCCGTACACTCCTTCCCCTCCTCATTCCCTGTGCCGGAACTCCGGGGCTCAAAGGATGCGACGTCACCAAAGGAGGAGCAAAGACGCAGAAGTGACTGTGCGTCAAAGTTACAAGGAAGGCAACGAATACTTATTTGACTCGACATCAAACACTAGAAAAAAAAAAAAGCGAAGAATACTCACGCGCCGAACACCTATTGCCAAAAACGCAAAGCTCCCACCGTCTCAAAGACCCAGAAAAGCAAGAAGAGAAAAAAACATCACAGAAAGGAAAAAAAGAAACAAAATAATCAAGAAGATAAAAGAACAACGAGGCGTCATACATCATCCAACGAGCATCAGCTGTGGTGCCCCGTGACAGAACCCGACAAAAAAAACAATGGCAACACATAAAAAAAAAAAAAAAGGGAATCGGCAGTGAAGAAATCTGTAGGTTTTTAACCCCGAAGAGCCAGAACGCTCGCACACACGCAGGGAAAAACCTTCTCTCCACCAAATAAAACATCTACAATCTAGGCAAACAATAAATTTTAAAAAATCTTTTTTTTTATTTTTCGTAGGATCTAATATTATATATATATATAATGCAGAATAGAGAGAGTGAAGAGGGGAAACCTCCAAACAACTGAGTAGCACCCAGCCACTTCTCTTGCTCTTGTGTGAAAACAAATCATATATATATATATATATATAGGTCTGAAAGTGCAGGAGAACAGTGACGGTCTCTAACAGGAGATGAGGGCACGAAGTGCGTCCAATTCTTTCAGAGAATTGTCACAGTGCATCGAATCCGCCTCCCTGATAGCCTCCACCCATACTCCCTTGTTCTTTTCAGAAGCGTTGGCCTCTTCACTCAGCCACCTGCGTGCGTCATTCTTTTCCCTCCATCCACGTACTGCCGCCTCTAGCGCCCATGACTTCTTTTCGGCTTCTACAGACGCCACAACCTCCGAAATTTTACTTCGCATCTGCCTTGTTTTTTGCTGATGATCCACAAGTTCCTGTTGGTCCGCGTCCTCCAGCTTGCGAATGGCGGAAATTAGTTGCTGTTTACTCTCGTCCCGAACCTCGCGAAATTCGCGCAGTCTCTCCTTCGCATCCTTGTCCTTCTCCTCTAGCTCTTGCAATCGCGTAGTGACCGCCTGCCTGCGCTTATCCAAAACGCACCAGTACTCCTCATTGCGCAGTCGCCGCTCATCCACCTTCAACTGCAGATCGGCTGTTTCCTTCTCAATCCGCAGAACTTCTTCCTTCTTGTCGGACACCTGGGCCCAGACAAGGGAGATTGTGTTCTGAATGTTGGCCTTCTCAAGGTCCCAGTCCTGGACAGTCTTGGCATGCTGTCCCTCAAGCTCCTGCAATGCCGCGCGTGTCTTTTCAAGCTCCGCATTCTTTTCCCTCAGTTCGTTGCTGAGCGCGCGCCATTTCTGAATGAGCTCCTTCACTTGTGAACCCTCCATCGGGAGAAGCGTGCGGCAGGCCCGTCTCGCCGCGTGTGTGTTTCGCGCAAATCTCTCCAGTAGGTACAAAAAAAGGCGGGTGAAAAGAAAAAAAAAGAGAAAAAAAACAATAATTTGACTGGAATTCATGACGCAGCGTCCAGCGGCGCCCCAGAAGATGCAGAAGGCAAGCAATATGCCATGGCATCCCTCACAGTTTGCAAGTAATAATAAAAAAAGGAGCACCTGCTCAGAATCATTGAAAGAAAACAAGAACTTCAAACTCCCATTTTGTTTTCGTTTCCTCCCTCCTCCATCCCCACGCCCTACGAGGGCGTGGCTCACACTTCGGTTTCCTTTCGATTGCCTGCCGTTTTCTTGTCTTTTCTTGTCTACGTGCGGGAAGTGAAAGCAGACGACGTCACAGCAGCAACGGCACCCACACTCCTGCAAGGGGGGAAAGAAAAACATGCGAGGGGAACAGTAACCGGCCATAGTACAATCCAAAAATAACAACAATAATAATAACAATCAGAAAAGAAAAAAGAAATCAAAACATCTGCTTTTTTTTTTTTTCCTCTGGAATTACAAGTTTAGCAAAACACTTCCTTCTCTTTTTATTCCCCTGTTAGACAACACGCCACGCACCAGCAAAGGGCAACAAATATTTGCCCCTTACGCACACACACACACTCACAGACATGGCAACTCAGATGCTAACAGGCTCTTTTTCAGCTCCATTCCCCGGCCTCCCCTTCCCACCCGACAAAAATAAAATTAACTCCAAACAAAAAGAAAAAAAAATCCCACGTGCAGGCCTCCTAAAGCCGCCAAAATGCATAATTTCAACACACACGTACACACACAGACTTAAATACATAGATACGCATATATAATATAATATAATATAATATAATATAATATATTTATATATAAATATATAAATTTAAAAAAAAAACGGTGTTAAAAACAAACAAAAAAAAAAACACAATTAAAAAAAAAAAAAAAAAAAAAAAAAAAAAAGGCAACACATACACCGTTTATTTGAGCCCCGTTTGTTTTTGTTTTTGTTTTTGTTTTTGTTGTTGTTTTTACTATTTTCTCGTTCTTTAATTGTTTCATCCTGCAGCCCACCTCACCTCAAAAATAAAAATAAATAATAATAATAAAAGAGACACCCTCTCCAAATGCAAGGAATGCTGTATGTGCGTTTCCCCCTCCATTCCTCCCCCCGAAAAGAGTAATAGCAATGCCCATAGAAGCCAATGCAATAACACTTATTTGTGGTGGACATTGGTAACTTAAAAAAAAAAGAAAAAAATGAAGGATTTACTGAGAGCAAGATGACAAAAAAAAAAAAAAAAAAAAAAAGGTGTCCAATACATACAGGACCGTTTGATTCTGAGCCCCGTTTGTTTTCGTTTTTTTGTTGTTTTTTTCTTTTATTGAATTTGATCTTGTCTTCGCCACCGTGAGGTCATTTGTAGAAAAAGCATTACCCTTCCTTAATATATATGTATGTATGTATATATTTAGTATTCGCTCCCTGACCTCCCGCCATCTGTAGTCACCGCTTCATCTCTCATCCATTTTTCTTTTCTTTTCTTTTCTTTTTTCTTTTTTTCATCTTTTGGCCATTCTCCTTTCATTCATTGGCAAACTATGTAAAGCCGTTGTTACTGCCTTCTTCCCGTCATGTTCCTCACACACACACACACCACTCTGATCATCAAAACACGTCATCCGTACATGACCGTGTGAGTCATGGACACGTTCAAAGGGGCGAGTAGGAAACAATGTTTTTTTTTTTTTCAACCCATATTTGCTCTTGTTTCTCTGAGGCGGGGCCCTCGCTTGCATTTTCACTTGCGCTTCTTTCCTTTTCTTTTTTTCTTTTTTCTCCCTATTCCATCGTGGATGGCCTCCACCACAAATCCCACATCTGATTTCTCACACGCCTCGCCCCGTTTGTTTGCATTTCGCCAAACTCCAACAGCGCCTGCGTGCCCGCGGCAACCATGGGAGGCGATCCAGTGGAGTGTGCGTCTGGACGTAGCCGCGCCCCCTCCCCTGCCCGCAAAAAAAGAAAAAAAAAAAAAGAAAATGGCAGCCGATGGAGAACAACACACGATACGGGCACAGTGCACATCACACCTCCGAAAGGGCTCATAGCGGCTCGTAAGCCAATCCGAAGAAACAAATTCCTCAGAAGTCTTTTTTTTTTTTTTAATGATCCCCAGGACCGTTGGGAAATTACAAAGCGGCAGTCATTTATTATCCCAAGCAAGCAAGCAAGGAAAAAAAAAAAAACGAAAACAGGGTCTCTCACCCCGCACCCCTCAGCGCAGAAAGTAACGGCGTTTTTCGGGGGTGGCCGCCGGAGGAGAAAAAGAAGTACCGCAATCGCCGCACTCCGACGCGGTGTATTTTTGCGGACAAAAATCAGGCGATCAACAAACAACACACAAAAAATGCAAAAAAAAAAAACCCTCTCTCTTTTTTTTTTTTTTTTCTGCCGGGGTTTTATTTACTTATTTCTTCATTCTTTCCGTTTTTTCTTTTTCCTTTAATATATACTTTTAATATTCGCTTTCCCACCCCACGCCATGCAGCGGCAGATGCGCACACGCATGTCCCAACGGACGCGCATGCATGCATGGATGTATTTATGTATGTCTGTACGTATGTAACTACGGGGGAAAAGAAATAGTTGTCGCTCCACTGGGATTAGAGAGAAGGGGAACAACAAAAGAAAATGCACTACAAGAAATAACGATCGGCATACACACATACAAAAAAATAATAATAATAAATAAATAAATAAATAAATAAATAAATAAATAATCAATTTGATATGTGGTTCATGCAGCAACACGAAAAGACACGTAGTGGAGCGAAGGAAAACAAAAGAAAGGGAAAAAAAAAAAAAACCCCAAATCCCCAACACCTTGCAAACGGTGAGTGAAGCAAAAGACAAGCGGAGCAAAAACACCAACAAACGCAGAAATCCAAAAAAAAAAAAAAAACCGTGTATTTTAGGTGCGTTTGTAGATGGCGGCCAGCGCCTACAAAACCTTTTGTTCTCCTTTTTTTTTCGCCCTCCTCCGTCGCGCGCCGGCGGAGCGCCACGCACACAGACACAAGCACAAGCACACTCCATTCCTCCCCTTATTTTTTTTTTTCCGGTATTTACGGTGCGCCGTCGCACGCCATTCCGCACCCTCAAGAATAAGAATGCAAAGCTGAATGAATACATGCCGTTACCATCAAAAAGAAAAAAAAAAAAAGAGCCAAGTGGAAAAAAACAGATAAATAATTTCAAGTTATTTGACAAAAAACAAAGACAACAACACAAAAAAAAAAAAAGGAAAAACACGCTATCATCTGCCTTCGCTCCTTCTGGGCACACATTCATTGTAGAAGCCTAATAATAATAATAATAATAACAAACCATTGTGCAGCCAAAGACACAAGCCATAAGCAAAACAAATAAATGCGTCTCCTGCCGCAACACAAACAAAAAAAAAAGTAAACATCCAAAAACAACGGCACCAACAGAAAAAAAAAAGAAAAAACAGTCGCCACGTGTGCAAATATCCATGCCTTTCTTCCCTGCACGCCATTCCTCCGTCTTCAAAGACTGCCAGTAAGACGCGCTGCCGTCGCGCTGCACTGAAATGAGTGGCCGCCGCCGCAAAAAAAAAAAAAAAAAACTATTCTCAATCTGATGTCCTTTCTCTTGACATGTCTCCCAGAGCAATTGTACTCAGACAAAAACTTCATCGTTCCTTCATCCACTCCTCTTTTTTTTTTTTTTTTTGGCACGTTTATTTATTTTTCTTTCTTTGGTTCTTCCCCCTGTCTCCCTCTCGTTGTGTCATTAAACCACTGCCGGCTCATGTCTGTTACAGTGCCGTGGGTGTTTTATTTACTTATTTCTTCGTCTTCGTCTTTCCCTTTTTTCTTTTTCCTTTATATATACTTTTCTCGCAAATATTCGTTTTCCCACCCCACGCCATGCACCGGCAGACGCGCACACGCATGTCCCAACGGACGCGCATGCATGCATGGATGCATTTATGTATGTCTGTGCGCATGTAACTACGGGGGGAAACGAGAATCGTTGTCGCTCCACTGGGATTAGAGAGAAGGGGGACAACAAAAAAGAATGCACTACAAGAAATAACGATCGGCATGCACACATACAAAAAATAAAAATAATAAATAAATAAATAAATAATCAACTTGATATATCGGTTCATCGCAAGCAACACGAAAAGACACGTAGTGGAGTGAAGGAAAACAAAAGAAAGGGAAAAAAAAAAAAAGGATCACCAAAACACACACACACACACACACAGATGCGGCGGCACACCCAAAAATACGTCCTTCTCTAACAGAAACCAGTCGTCAAGTAGGCTTCCTCCGAGAACATACATGCAGCAGCGAGCAAAACAGCAGCAACAGCAATCCCTGGTTCTTTCCTCACGCAAACGGTGAGTGAAGCAAAAGACAAGCGGAGCAAAAACACCAACAAACGCAGAAATCAAAAAAAAAAAAAAAATAAGGAAAAAAAGAAAAAAAAAGACTAAAAAGTGGCCGTGCATTTTAGTGTGCGTTTGTAGATAAGCGCGTCCAGCGTCTCATCGCATCGACACCACATATTTTTGTTCTTCTTCTTCATTCCTTTTTTCGCTCCTCCTCAGCATTCAATCGTCGCTTCCCTGCCCAAGACGCCAGCGGAGCGGGATCCCCACCGCAACTCACACACACAAGCACAAGCAGAAGCACACATCCATTTCCTCCCCTTATTTTTCGTTTTTCCGGTATTTTCTCGACGGCGCGCCGTCGCACGCCATTCCGCACCCTCAATAAAAGAATGCGAAGCAATGAATGAATACATGCCGTTACATCGGCATCCAAAAAAAAAAGGAAAAAAACAGTAATAATAATAATAATAATTTTTCTTCTGCTTTTTTTCCCCCACCCCATTGACCCATACTTTTGAGGAACAAAAATAATTCGATTGCAATGAGTGCGCGTGCTCGTTTTTTTTTTTTTTTTTCTTCATTTCTTCGTCTCTTTTTGGGTGTTCAAAGGCAATTCTGCAGATTGGTATCTGCGGCTCTCCGCCCTGGACTCAACGTTGACGATGCGACCCCCCAAACCACACGCACGCACACACCGAGAGATATATAAATATGGATGAGATAAACGGGCAGAAAGAGAAATGTGGGTGGGTGGGTGGAGAAGGGCGGCCCTTTTGTTTTCTTTTTTGTTTTTTTCTTTTTTGCTTCTCTTCTCTCAATTATTATTTGCACGTCATTTCTTTCGTTGGTCCCCTTTTCTTTTTTCTTTTTTACTCCTCCCACAGCACACCGACAGGGGCGGCAGTTGAAAGAAATGGAAGAAACGGAAGAAAAAAAAAAAATCAACGCATCGTCGCAACGAAAAAAAGAAAAAAAAACATATTAAAAATATAAAAGAAAATGACAGACAAAACAAAAAACAAACATCCGCCGTGAAGCACACACACACACAGACCTTCAATTGTGTTCTCCCCACACGCCCCACCCAGCCGCACCTCGCTTACAAAGCCAAGTAGAAGTCAACAAAACCTCTAACCCCTCCTCGAAAACGATTCAGCTATTCATTTCTCTTTCTTTCCCTGCATGCAGGGTTTGGAGCCCATTTTCCCTTTGAGAGTGCCCGTAGACACCGTCTCCAAAGTAAAAGCGCACAGTCTCACCAGTATAATCACCGGAGAGGAAAGAAAGGAAAAGAAAAACAAAAAACTTAAGAAGATGAAATGGTAGGAAAATGAAACTTCGTGCCAATTGATACAAATAACCGTCATTGTTGTCGGGGCTGCCAATGGCATCTTTCTTTCTCCATTAATAAAATTTGATGCACGGCTTAATTTCGTTTTTTTTTTCTTTTCCTTCTTTCACTTATGGTACACCAACGTCACCAGATGCCAGCTTCTCCGTGGCCAGTCAAGAAGCTGCAAAAGCGAGTTCATTTTTCAAAAAAAAAAAAAAAAAAGATTGGCATCAACAGACTAAAATCAAGATATGTAAAAGCACTCCTCTCCCTCCCTCCCCCCAAAAAAAAAGACCGAAAAAAAAAACATAGGAGTACAACAAATAACTCATGATAAGTTGCTGCATCCGTCATTGCAAATATCATTAGCACATGAAGCTATATATGCTGTTTCCTTTCCGGAATTTCACCGCTTTGCTTTGTGTTCCGCGTCTGCCATTCGTCTAGTACGGCATAAAGTAAAGAGGTGATACACCCTTTGCGTTGCCATCCTGTGGAGGGACCGGGAGTGCATACATTTGCTGAAGCGATATCGGCTGGGATTTTTCTGGTCCTTGTAACAGGAAAAATGATGCGGTTGCTGGATTGAATTGAGGTAAACACCCAGTTGAAAGACAAGGCTGGAGTTGCCCCTGTTTTTGCGGTTGCAATTGCGGCTGCGACTGTTGTAGCTGAATTTGTTTTTGGCAGTTCTCTCTTGATTGTGGTGATTGCCCCGTCTGCATCAAAGGCGTTGATAAAAGAAGAAGCTGCGTATTAAGCATACTGGTGTCAGATGCCACACTTTTTGTAGAGATAGCGCGTGGCGGCGCATTCACCGATGTGCTGGGCGAAGAGGAAAGCGAAAAGTGCATCATAGGACAACTTGTCCTTGATGTCTCTCCACAGCTCTCGGAAAACGTTGTACTATTCCCTTTTTGTCCAGGAATCGGTCGAATGGAAACGTTAGCGTTACCGGGTGCGCTGCTTATAGAAAGATCGCCCACGGATGCATCCTTTTCAGCGCGTTCTCCGGTGTGACTCACAACATGCACAAACTGACAATTCTGGCCAAAGCAACATACGCCGTTCTTGGAGTAGTTGGCGCAGTGTTGAAGAGTAACCGTCGGGGGCTCGTTACGCAGAAAACGCTCATAGTACTCACGCACCACTTTTGTCACAAAAATTCGCCCACTATCAAATTCCTCCACAGGCTTTGGATTATTCGGCATCGCCACACGGAAAGTTGCGCCTCGAGGGAGCGTTGGGTAAGCCCATGGTGGAGTCCATCGCGAATGCAACGAGTGCCACAACAACACATTTGGCGGATGTTTCAGACTCTTTTCTTTTCGTTCGGTTGAAGTTGGGCACCCGTTCGCGTTACTAAAGACATTATAAATACTTGCCTCCATGGCGGTATCTGTATTGAAGGGACAATGCACCTCTCGGCACAGAAAACCATTGCTACACTGCATTTCCCGGTTGTAAGAGGAGCATATAAACAATTTATTGTGAATCTTGTTCGGCCCCCAGCGGAGATAGTCGTACAGATAGTCTAGCACCCCGCGAGTAAGATAAACGTGTTCGGATAGCACGGCGTAAATGGTTCGCATGTGATGAGCAAAAAACCATAAATAAAAACCTTTTGGAAGTGTGCGCTTCGCAAGTTCTTCATCGGGAATGCCCGCAAGCTCCTCAACGGAAGGAACCTCGAAGAAAAGCCAGCGCTTGTTACGTTTCCTCTGCCTTACTGGAGTAAGTTCCATTGATGAAAGGGAATGCAACCAGCGGTACCTTGTATAAGAAGTGTGCACTCGACCGATGGCAAAACCAAAGCCCCCCCAAAAAAATAAAAAGGAATGGGAACAAACAAATATAAAATGTGCCAAAGACAACAAGAACGAGAACAAAAAAAAAAAAAAAAGATCAGAAATAAATAAATAATCACCTAGAGTGAAAAATTTCGGCGAAGGGGAGGAGGAGGAAGAATTATTCCTTTTCACTGTGTGCTTGAATGTAGCTTTCCCTTACTCGGTTCACCCTTATAAAAGATCTCTTGGCTGCTGTAGTCGCGTACTCTAAAGAAGATGATAATAAAAGGGGTGTCGTGACAATAAAAACTGCAAAGAAAAAAAAAAAAGAAAAGAGGGGGGCAGAAGAGTGCGAAATAAGGGAGAGCAGAAGCAAGGCACATGTGTGTGTGTGTGTGTTCTCAGCAAAGCAAATGTGGAGTAGAAGCGGCCATTTCCCAACAAATTTACGCGCATGAATCACATATGAAAATGGACAAAAAAATTCAGAAAAAAAATTTTGTCTCGACGCGTGGCGTAGGTACGAAGCAATAATTGAGAGGAAAGATGAGTAAAGAGAGCAACACACACAGGAGGGGCGCACGTGACACCACACATAACAACAACAAAAAAAAAAAAAACGCAATACAAATAAAAAGGAAAAGAGCGGCTATTCGACTCCCATCAAAACCGATTCGTGACGCAATTGAGTGCCGTCCACCACCCCACACCCCATATTTTGACGATGAAAACATGTGTGTGTGTGTGTGTGTGTGTGTGTCCCCATCATCCCTCCGTTCTTTCCTTCTCACTACTTTGTATCTCGCCCCTCCGCACACCACCCATCAATCAGAGGATTAGTGAGTAAAATCCGGCAAACGGGACAATCCAATGCGCGGCCCCTGAGACCATGTATATGTGTATACATATATACATGTAAAAGGAGAGAAGTAAATCGCCTTCCCCACAAACCGGACAACAGAAAGATGAGGAGAAGGGTATCGTGGCGATATGGGGAGTACACCAAGTGAGAACCATCAAAAAATAACACAAAATGAGGGAATAAAAAAAACAAACGGCAATAGCAATCATAGTAAGATCAAAATCAATACCGTGCGTATATCTAAAAGGCAGCTGCGTGCCCGAGCCATCGAAGTTTCTCTCTTTCCCTTTCCCTCTCTCTCTCCCTCTCTCTCTTTCCCAACATTCAACCGCAACGGCGTATCCACACAAACAGAAATAAATATATAGACAACAACAACAAAAAAGATAAAACACGCCCTACACTGCCGTTGCTGCACATCTCACCAAGAATAAAAAGATATGCAGCATTTATCCCATCAAGCAACACGCACCAATCCCTTCCCACTCAAGTTTCATTCACCCATTTGTTTTTATTTATTTTTTTTTTTTTTTTTTTTCTGTGCTTCGTCAAAAAGTCTGCATTCTTTTGTGTGGGTACTTGAGAGTATCGATCTGGCTGTTGTTTTTCCCCAAAGCTGCAAGCATTCTTTTTTCTTCCAGTCCCCCTCCCCCCAATCTCCCTCTCTCTCTCGCTCACCCTTCTAAGAATTGACGTCTACATTAAGTACGTCCTGAATCCGTGTCGCCCGCATTACGGCATCCTTTCGCCTGGAACGCCACTCGCCCTCAAGTTCCTGCAGATTGTCCGTTCTAAAAAGAATGCGCATCAGCTCCTCGTAGTAACCACGACGCTGCTGAATTGTTAATTCTCCATCCTTAATAATGGACTCTATACATGCCGTGTCTGCCTCAATCTCCAGAAGCATAACTTTCTGGGGTTCGCTGTATTCACCTGATGCAAAGAAAAGAGTGTACACACCTGACGCGTCGGGATTTGTCAGGCTCAATGACGAGGGAAGTGCATCAGCGTAGATCCCATACGCGTTGAGCTTCGCGTCTGACCCACTCAGCAGTTTCCCACGAAAAACTACTTTGGATCCAGCAAGACGTGGTTCTTGCGATACAACCTCCAACAACAGGTCACCCAGCGTGGCATCACCAGGCAGCTCTAGGTTAATGCTCTTCTTAAGCGCAGGAACCATACATTTTACCGATATCCGCGACGCCACAGATGCCGTGTCACCCGCTTCTTCTGATACCCCTCTAGTCACCTCAATATTGGTATCCCGAGGAGTCCTCGACGCATCTATCGAAGGTGTACTTTGTGAATTCTTGCGAGGCGTCCTGTCCAGTGAGCCCTTGCCATCTCCGCTTTCCACTGGAACAGTTGAAGGGAAAGCATTCCTCACAAATTTAGAAGGGCTGGTCTTTCCACTGGGTACAGTGTCGTGTGGGCTTCTTTGAGGAGGAGGAGGCGAAGACTGACACGAAAACGATCTCAATTTTTCACCATGGCAGCCAGGCTGTTTGTTGTCGTTGCCTATGCGTGGTGTTGTAGTTCCGCCGGAAGCCATGGAATTCGAATCTGTTCGACTGTGGAAATGTTTGGACACTGAAGCCGCCGATTCTTTCTTTGGCTCACGAGAATCAAAGACAGATCGATCTTCTTGTTGTTGTTGTTGTTTTTGTTGTTTGTCTCCGACTGGAAAAAAGGGGTTAAAAGGCTCCCGTTGTGGCTGTTGCAGTTTTCCGTGTCCTTGATTTTGAGAACGTTGTTGTTGTTGGCGCTGTTGGTTGTAAAAATGTTGACCACGTTGCTGCGGTGCCACGATTTGCTGCTGCTGTGCCGGGTAACCCCTCTGAGCCCCATCCAAAGACGTTACAAGAACAAGCGACCCAAACGGAAACTCCTCCACAAGACACTCATCCCCAACGACATAACTGCCGTAGACAAGAGACGTCGCCGGCGGGTAGCCGTAATATCCAATGAGAAATTCACGCAACTGACCCACAGTACACTCCCTGGGAACTTCCACGTCCATTGTTTCTCCGCGAAGCGACCTTATCTGCACACGGATCATTTGCCTGGAAGCGGCACTGTTGATAAACATGATCGCTCCTAAAAAGAGTTCTCTCCTTCGCTCTTGTTTATTTATTTATTTATTTTTTTTTGGAGCGATAGAGAAAGGAGGGAGGGTTCCCTTCTGATTAATTCGAACTTACGGAAAATGAAGGGGACGTTGTGTTCCTTTTAATGTATTTATTTATTTTTGTGTGTATATATGTATAATGGACCTGTGGGTGTGTATGTAACCTCCTTGTTAGGCACCTTTCTGCGTTGAAATGGAGGCAGCAGTCGGACTGGGAATCCGAATACTAGAGACACAACTGCCGTTTCAAAGCAGAGCAACAGTAACCCAGCAGGAGAAAAGGAGTAAAGAAAAAAGAAGAAAAAATGGCGTCGAAAAGAGCCAATGCAAGACACAAACAATAAAGAAAGAAAGAAAGAGAGAGAGAGAGAGAACGAATACACAAAAAAAGCACAAACAATGCGCGTGGCAGAGTCAAAAGTTGAAAGCTGCATCTCTTCTCCAATCAAACGAGTCTGCCGTACCGGAGTGGCTGGTTTGGTGCGCGGAACTCCTTCGCATGCCGGTGCACCACCTGCTCAAACACCACACCGGGATCCAGCAGCGGTTCGACGTATGCACGCAATGCACCCACCTCCCACCGTCCGGGATTCAGCTCAAACAACTGCTCCATTCGCTGCGACAAGTCGGTAGACAACTCATCCTGCGGTGCCCAGACAACTGTCGCGCCGGCGTAGCAGTCGCCACACGCTCCGCGAACAACAACAACGTCATTCAACAACGATGTGAGAGCTGCCTTCTCGGATCGCGGCGGTATTACACCAGATGCAAAAAAGGAACTCGGAATACTTTCCACCCACGTGTTATAAAATGATTCAAATTCAACCGAAGGAAAAAAAAAGTTTTCGTCCATATGGAATTGACGATCCGGTTCTTCTTCACTTCGAGCCGTGAGAAGCAAAATGGCAGCTTCGGCCAGCGTTTGTAACACTTTTCGTACGTGAAGTAACGCCACCGCCCCTGTTCTCCCCTCCGCCTGCTCCAGTGCACCGTACATCTTCTGCACGACACGGATAACAATGCTCGGATACACAGAAGGGCAAAAGTGCTCCTCCACCGCCCCCCAGGAGACTTCCTCGCAACACTCCACAAAGACGATAACCGCCTGAAGCGCCTCACGCAAAAGAGACGGGTGCAGCAGACGAACACGCCCACGATAGGCAATAGCGCCCGCTTCGGAAAGTATTTCTGATAACTCACGTGCACTGCATCGGCTCATCGACACAAGCTGTGGAAATGTATAATGTTGGCAAATAACTCCGTCGGGTGGAGCCATCCTGGCGTCAGCCAAATCGCATGGCCGTGCGCTGTTCTCAGACTCAAGTTCCTCAATAGTGACAGGACTCTCTTTCAGCAGCTTCAACAAATCCCGATAAACACACGCTCGTTTTGCCTCAAAAAGACGTTCTGCAGCTCTAACAACGACGTATTTGCATTTCTTCTCCAAATCGACCGGCGCACTGGAGTTTTGCACAGGCGTGTGCGTCAGCGCCTCAATGTTACGGTCACAAATCGGGCGCTTCTCGGCAAGAAGAAGTGTGTTTGAGTATTCCACACGACGTAGTCGATATGTGTGTTCATCATCACAAAGTAACAAATTCGACGTGCCCTTCATCATAAGCAGTGTCCTGTTTTCATCCATCCCTGTCCTTGTAGAGGCCTCCTCATTCCCGTGCACGGCTATCTTCTCCTTCAGGCGCCGCACGCAATCCGCCTCCACCGCCAGCAGGCGGTACTCGGAGCACTTCGCAAAGTCGGACCGTAGCGTCACGTACGTCATTGGAAAGACGCACACACACACGGAGAGTGGGAGAAAAAAAAAAAAAAAAAGACAGCCAGTAAGAAATCGCACTTCAGTCCTTCCCTCAATTCCTTTCCTCCTTTGAGCCCGGTGCGCTACCCACACCGCTCTCTCACGCTGAGAAGTGGCAACAGACCCCCTGCACCAAAAAGAAAAAAAAAAGGAGAAAAAACTGCAAAAGTCCGGCAAACAGTCAGCAGCTTCTCAGATGAGAAAAAAAAAAAAAAAAAGAGGGGTGGGCGACGTCATCGTCGTCGTCGTCTGTCTCATTTGTATCAGTTGTTTTCACCGATTCCATCCATTATCGTGTTGATTGTTGTATAGAGGGAGCAGCGGGAAAATAAATAAATAAATAAAAAGAAAAATAGAGAGAGAGAGAGAGAGGGGGGGAGGGGTTACGCACACAACAAAACATAATAATAATAATAAAAACACACGAAACACACGAAAAAAAAAAAAAAAAAGATGCGCCTCACTGGAAACGTGCGCATGTATACCTCAAAGAACAAAATAAAAATAAAAAATAAAATAACAACAATAAAAAGAAGAAGAAAAAGGAAAGAAAAAAAACCAACCATTTGTTGTGGACTTCTCCCCTCCCCTCCCCCAGACGCTCGCCCCGTTTCTCCCCCTCCATCTCTGCACGGTGAGGCATGGGAGACGAGAATACTCCTTTTTTCCTTCTTTCCTTCCTCATCCATCCTTCCCTCAAAAAAATAATAATAATAACAGCCCAACCATGACAAAAAAAAAAGGAAAAAAAGAAAAAAAGATGCTCTCGCCAATTCCGTGCTTAATTTGTTTGTTTGTTTGCGCCTTATTTCTTGTCTTATTCCCATTCCTCACAGCGCTGCTCCGCCGCCTGTCAAACCCCCTCCTCCTCCTCCTTCCCCTCTCATTCAACCATGCAGAAAAGAAGAAGAAAAAAAAAGAAAAAGAAAAGGACGGTCCATCGGAAAGACACCTCCTCGTCCCCATTCCCACTGCGTGAGTGTGCACCGGTGAGAATGGAAGGGAGAAAGTCAATAAAACATATACAAATATAAATATAAATATATATATTCCTTTTCCGTTACTTGTTCGTGTTTTCGTTGGGCCACCGTTTCGGCCCTCATCCCTTTTGCACACAGCACATGTCGCCAGGCACCTTCCAGCGTGCCCCGTCTGTCGGCATTTCCCCTCCGGCCGCCACCGCGCCCGTTCCCTCCCCTCCCCTCCCGCCAATAAAAACACACGAACACCGCCAAAGTGTTTAAATAAATAAATAAATAAATAATGCACGAAAAAAGGGGATAAAAAACCAACGACAAACACACACACACAAAAGTACGACTCACTTCACAAAACTCAAAGAAGGAGGACTCGCGAAGCGGAAAACAAAACAATGCGGCACACAAAAAAACACATGCATTTTTTTCTTTTTTTTTTTTTTTTTGATGGAGCAGGAGAGGAGTACTTGCTAAAAAAAAAAAAAAAAAAAAAAACAGAGCAGACGGAGTAGGCACATAAAAATAATTTTCACATAAAAACAAAAATAAATCAAAATAAAATAAAAATAAAAATAACACCCACTTTCTCCCTCTTTTTATATTTTTTTTTATTTTTTTATTTTATTGCCTTTTTTTTTTTTTCGCAATTTTTTTTTTTTTTTTATTTTCTTTCGCTTACTGTAACACCACACCCCATCATGCGCAACTGTTTTTTTTTTTTACCCCCCACCATCCCCCATTGTGGCTCTTCAACGGCCATCCATTCGTTGTTTTGCTCGCCTCCCACCGCCTGCACGTCCTCATCAGCCAAGAGCGAACCGCCCCACGTTTTTTTGTTACGGATCGTTCCCTTCGCTTTTTTTGTCTCACCCCTCCTCCCCCTCTTTTATTTTTATTTTTATTTTTGTTGAGAAGAAGAAGAAGAAGGAGGAGGAGAAAAGGGTTCAATTCACGTACACCCTGCACAGCCCTCATGTTTTTTAATAATTATTGAAGTTGACGCTGCAGCGGTTATGAGAAACACCCCCTCAGTAGAGCAGCACTGTAAAAGAGCGCAGGCATGGACATATGAAAAGCCAAGCACTTATAAACATAACAACAAACAAAAATAAATAAAATAAATACAAGTAAAACATCAAATGCATTTGAAAAAAAAAAAAAAAAAAAAGGAAGAGGGAGAGAAGAAGAAGAAGAAGAAATAAGAAGAGAGCAAGCATCAAAAAATAAAATTAAATTAAATAAATAATAATGGGAAAATAAAATCCACAACAAAAATGGGCGCACCCGTTTAAATAGCAGCAATGAGAAAACACTTTTATCCACTCTTTTTTGTTTTCCCCCCCCCCCCCCCCCACTCCGCCTTTTCTTTCCTGTTGCTTTTGTTGCATGCCAAAACTATCAATTTTTTTTTTCTTCTTTTTTGCTGCGCTTTCCGTCGTTGTTTTGTGCCACACGAACCCTCAAACACAAATAAATATCATTTCTTTTATTATTATTTTATTATTTTTAATTCTTTGTTTCTTTTCCCCCCTCCCTCTCTCTCTCTCCTTCTGGACCTCCGCCTCGTTCATAAGTGAGACGGTGTGGAGGCACAAACAAACAAATCCCCCCTTCCCTTCCATTTTCCTCCTTTCTTTCTTTTCCCCCGCACCGTTGCCCGTTGGTGCCTGGTGGCATGCGTACATAAAACCACAAATATATTTTTTCTTTTTTTTTCTTCTTGCACGCTTCCGCAGCCAAATTACACACAAATTTACAAAAATGAAAATAAAATAAAATAAAGAGATGAGCATCGCAAACGTCGTGTAAATGTTGTTAAAAGAAAAAAAAGAAAACAAAAAACAGCGGCAGCAGCCCATCCACGCAAAAAATAAAAATAAAAATAAAACCCAAAAGACTACCACCCGCTCACTGCCCCCGTCCCGCAGTCCACCCGCCCCCCCCCCCTCCCGGTTATCCCTATAAATAAAAAGTTTTACCCACTTAAATAAATGTCTCTTCACATGCGTGCAGAGATGTGTCCATTTCCGTCTGCGCAGCAAATGCGTGAGGCGTACGGCTACCCGTAGTGCAGATAAATAAATAAATTTGAGATGTGTACAAAAAAAAGGAAAAAAGAACCCGCAAGCACAAAAGTAAAACGCATACACAAACACACAACACGACGCAACCAAAGCCAACACGCAACACGACAAAAATAAATAAAATATAATAAAATAAAAAAACACGCAGACTAAGTAAACCCAAATAAAGATAAATATTTATATATTTATATATATGTATGTATGTATGCAATTATGTATATTATATTCCCCTTCCCTCCGCCCCTCCCTTCCGGCTATGCATGCATTGGATCTCGAAAAGAGGAGAAAAACAACAACAACAATAAAAAAAAAAGAAAGAGCTGCCCTGCCGCTGTGCGCATTTCCATTCAACTTTGGAGAAAAGTGACTTGTGTTTTTTTTTCTTTTCTTTTTTTTTTGTTAATTATTTTGTTTGCTTTTCTGAAATGAAGTTGACATTACCGCCTCCATTTCATCCAAAATTTTCTGTGAGTCGTTTGGGGCCCGAAAAAAAAAAAAAAAAGAGGGAAAAGAGGGAAAAGAGGGAAAAGAGGGAAAAGAGGGAAAAAAAAAGCACCCATTTTGTCCATCTTTCTCTCTCCATGTGCCCGTTGATCTCCGTTGTGAATTGTGAAGGTAAAAATAAAAATAAAAATAAAAATCACCTGCTCAAAGAAATGTTTTATTTTCTTTTTAATAATCGCCTTCTTCTTCTTCTTCTTCCTTAAAAATAACTCAAACTCCAAAAATGCTACCATCTTTTTGTTTTCGATCCCTTTTCATCCATAAGTAAATTCCTGCAAACATGGAGGGGTTCATCGAATACAAGCATGCGAATATATCAATATAGATATGTATACATGTGCATATAGGATGCATATGTACAAATATACTTATATATATGGAAAGAGGGAGAGAGAGAGAAAGAAAAAAAAAAAAAAAAAAAAAGATAAACACTTGTCAATGACTGCTTCAGTCGTTCCATGCCTTTTCAACCTTCCTGCTAATAAGATTCGGATGCATGAGAATCACATCAAAGAAAGTGACACAGATTCATTTTCCACCTTCCTCGCTCATTTGCTTCGGTAACTCTTCTTTAGGCTACTTTCTCTGTTTTACTCTTTTTCTTTTTTCTTTTTTCTTTTTTTTTTTTTTCTGTTAATGTTGTTTTCTTTTGTCTTTTTCATTATTATTATTTTCGGCTCATTTCTTTTTTTTGCTCCTTCACGGCTCCCCTCTACTGAAAAGAGGAAGCATCGCCGTAAGGATTGTGCCGCTGACCCATCGGACCGCGTGGCAGAACAGCCCCTCCACCCAATGGACGCAACAATGGACCTTTAATCGCCCTCTCCTCCCCGTCGGCATGGGCAATATACTTCGCGCGGTAGCCATAGGACATGCGACTACGAGAAGTACTACAGGGAGTACCGTATCCACTCTCGATGCCCTGAAGGGAGTTGCTCTGGTTATTACAACTTCCGTGCTGGCCATTCAAGCCACCAGAAAAATAACCACCGTTGAAGCTGGTATTGTTAAAGCTGCTAGCATTCGGAGTTCTTGTGGTAACGTTCGTTTCTTCCATTTGGCTCCCACATAAGCTTTGGTGGTGAATATCGCCAGAGACGTCCCTACTGGCATTATTTATGCAATTAACCGCTGAAGCAGAAGCTTCGCCAGCTCGTGTCCCCCTGCCCTGTACACGCGGAATGGGTACAGGAGTTGCGCTGATGTATTCGTCGCCATCAAGTGGGATCTCTCGACAAATGTGCAAAAACCCGCACTCCTCACCAAAGCGGCACAAGCCACGCCTGTGTTCACGACAAACACGACCCTTCGACACAGTAAGTAGAGTTTCTCCATGCTCACTGTATATACTCCAGAGGCAGTTTGTCGGATTTAGTGAATGAAGGCCAACTGCTTTGCTCCCGATGTTTACTGTAAGATTAAATGGCAGTCCTTCATAATTGCATGGGGCGCCATGAAGATAGCAGCAGGAAGGGGTTTCAAGCGCTTCTTTACGAAGTGAATCCAAAACATCACGGCGTGCGTGAACTTGAAAGCAGCGACTACCTTGCCTGCAGCGACCCTCAAGAAACAGACGACAAATCCCAGGCACAAGCCCATCATCTTGCAGGGCATTTGTTGGCTCCACCGCACTCATGGGGATCTTCAACTTCGTGCTAAGATGGTCCAACGCCTCCACGAAGGCCACCGTCGTCTGCTGGGGTGTACTCCCACGACGAAGAGTTGCAGACAAGGGAGTCTGATTTGCCTGGCACCCGGGGTGCGACCCCAAAGAATTGGCGGAGGCACTTTGATTGAGCGTAAGCGCTACGGAGACCATCTTTTTTTGTTGTTGTTTGTTTGTCCGTTGGTTGCTGTTCTTCCAACCTTTGTTTATTCCCTCCTACTTTGGTGAAGGCGATGTTGTGTCCACGCGTCCCACGTTTCCCCCCTTTCTTGCTGTGATTCCTCTGCGCTGAGCTCGCACGGATAAAAAAAAGAAAAAACTTCCGTACAAAAAATTGATCTTGTCGTTTGTTTGTTTGTTTGTTGTTTTTTCCTCTTTTTCTTTCTTTGTTCTTCGCTCTTTTTCACCCCTTCCTGAACCTTCCTTTTTGGTCTTTGCCCCGTCGTGTCGCCCTTGGCGTTAGCACTCCTTTTGTCTGTCGTTTACTCTTTCCACTAAGCACAAGAAAAAAAAAAAAAAAAATCTTCGTTCTTTGGCACAATCGATGTCGTCAGTCACCCAAACCCTACTGAACCCTACGTACGGAATTTAAAAAAAAAAAAAAGGAAAAAAAAAAAGACGAACGTTGTGCCAGACCCGTCCACACACACACACACACACCTCTCTCTCTGTAGAGGTTCACGCGCCCCTTCCCGCTCATGCGGCCCATGGCATTGGCCGTCGTGCGTGAGTCCAAACAAATAAACAAACAAAAAAAAAAAAAAGAAATGCGGGAAGAATAAAACATGACAACATGCCTCCCTTCCCCTTTGGACGCGGTGTATGCCCAAGCAGGCCCTGTGGAGAAACAGGGCCCACCCTTGTGCGTGCCAGTGAGGGCACAGGGAACCCCGTGGCGTGATGTCACACATCCTCTCACGCACAAGCCCCCCCGTGGTGCATCCTGCAAGCAACTCACACTTTCTGTCAGCACAACTTTTTCTCCATTTCTTCTTTTCCCTCTTCTTCTTTTTTTTTTTATTTTTTTTCGTTGACCACCTTTTTGTTTGTGCTGAAAACCCCCGTCGTTGTTTCCGCCTTTTCTTCCGTCTCTCTCAGTCGGGGAATGGCGCGTTAATCCCCGAGACGCACATCCCCGACAGAGGACGGAAGAACCTCCACACACCAGAGAGCTGAAAAAAAAAAAACACAGACCTACCGCCACTCCCCTGCAGCTTAAAAAAAAGCACCCCCTTCCCACCCTCCCTCGCTCCTTCTCCCCAACGAAAAGGTAAAGTGAACAGCAACAGAAAATATATTTATAATTATCATATTATTTATTTCCTCCTTTCATCCATCGCTGGCTGGATCGGCGCAGCTCTATGCGTGCATAACAGAAAATTTCATATGCCTGAATGCGTGTCAAAAAAAAAAAAAAAAAGGAAGCACAAGTACTGCCCAGTTTTCTCCTCCATACACTTTGAGCACACAAGTTCCTCATATATATATATATATATAAAGCATCCCCGCCCTCTTTGGTGAAAGCTTCTATGCGAGACGGTCCCACTGCACTGAAAACACAAGTCAATGAAACGAAAAAAAAAAAAAACAAGTAAATGCAGGCGTAACAAAAATACAACACAATGTCGTGCATATATGCATATAATACATGAAGTCCGCATGTAAAGCCGAAAGAAAGGGAAAATAAAAAACAGAGAGGTCTCAAACAAACACAGGACGCCGAGGTGCAAGGGAGTTGACGGAAACTGGGATAGCTGCACCACGTCCCACAATATTCGTAATAACCGCTTGATTACCGGAAATGTTGTTATGGACAGAAAACACCTTTGTGGCGAGTGTCAGAAGCGCCCTTTGCTTTTGCACTATATCAGTTGGCTTCGTCCCCATCTTACCCTGCAATGTACGTTCCCATAACTCCTGCAGCTGATCCATAAGCGTGGGATTCAGCATCACGACGAGAGCGTGTTGGACTTGTTGCTGACGGAGAACATGCAAAGGGGTCATTTGAGATCCGCCAACGTTCATTATAGCATCCCGCAGCTGCGCCATCAGTGGCACATGTCGTCGAAATGCAAGAAATCTCGGCGGCACGCTGGCACGTGCTGGGAGAGAATTCGAATGCACACATGTCACCAAAATCGACATGGAGATGGCGGGCGTCGCATTTTTCTTTCGCTTCAAAGAACAAAAGAGGCCCTTCGAGGGCTGCACGAGTTTTGTCACCGGAACGGGAGTGACAAAATCGGAGAAAAGACTACCTGGGGAAATAGAGAGTTTACCGCTCTTTGCCCCTCTGCATGACACCAATACATGACCAACACACCACGTCACCGTCTCACCGGCACTCTCTTCCACGTCGTAACAGGCCTCAATGCAAATTGTATCCGTCGCTTTGCACGCAAACAAAACACGTTGACTGTGATCGCGGGAAAACTTCCACTTAAACCCATTCTTCTTAGAAGCCTTTATGGACACGACAGGAATGCGAACTGTCGGCATCCAATTCCCTCCAGACGTCGTCCTCGCACTTACCAGGCAGTAGCAGCACGCCCCTTCAGGGGTCAATTCCTTCAATCGCAACTTCTTAATCCCCAATTCGCAGTACACGTCGTCGGGATCCATCGGCGGAGTCATTTCAAAACCGCCTCCATCAGAAGTAGGATTGGGCGCCCAAGTAACCTGTCGACGCAGCCTCTCTACCATCGTTCCTCTAAAATCCTGCAGGCGTTCAGGAAGTGTATCCGATAAAATGGGTTCCTCGCCGCTCATCAGGTATTTTTCTTGTAGATTTCGATGAGCAGACAATCGTTCCAGATGCTTTAAGGGGTTTAAAACGGATACCAATGCGTTTTCAACCAAGACGGACTTTGTGTCTGGAACATCTTTAGACGTACAAGATAAAAGGGCGGCGAGTAACGGGGTGTATAGAACCGCGGATAACGACTTATCCTCTATGGTGCATGCCTCTAGAGCAAAGCAAACATAAATTAATGCTTCAAGCTGCACAACAATACGTTTAGCAGTGTCAGATGATGTAATCGCTTTCATGACGCTTCGATTTCCAACGTAAATACAACCCCTTCGTTCATCCCAATAGACCGCTGCACCACCCGTACGCAATGCGCTGTTGCACACATCGACCACCTCCTCATTCATTTTTGTCTCAAGCGGTTTTGGTTCCTCACCCTCAACAGTGGCAATGGGAGGACCAGAGGGTGGCATCCGTTGAATAACGCACAGTAACGGGGTACGTCCCTTCGAAAAAGAGGTACATATACTCAGTGTGAGGTTTTCCATGTTACGGTGTGCGATGCCGCAACGGCCTAGCAATTCCAGTGTCACATCCAATGGCACTTCCCCCGACTGAAATTTATCATGCGCCAGAAACATGGACTTCACCCGTTTAAAAACTGATTTATGTGCACAAGTTTCCAAAATTGACAGTGCGGCATCACGATGCATTGGCATGACAAATTCCCTTAATGCGACAGCACGTTCTTCCGCAGTTTCTACACCAACGGCCTTTAATGCAAATTTCAAACTCTTCTTAATAAAATGATGTTGCGGTACATCCCCCAAAGCTTGCTGCTCTTCTTTTACCATGCCTTTCTTGGTTTTTGACTTGGACCTTGCCTCTGTTGACTTTGTACCGTCGCCCTTTATCGCTGTCAAAACTGATTCCGTTGTCTCCTTCTCCGCTTCTCGTCGTATGAAATCACTTTGAATCCACATCAGCTGATTAAGAAAAAACGAAAGCGTGTCGTTTTCCGAGCCACGGGGCACCAGGCAGATGCGTGGCAAAACACGAAAACGTGGTGCCTCCTCAGGTGGCGTCCTTAGTACAATCACCTCACGAGTCTGCATTGATGCTGTTGGGGGCGGTACATCCGTCAGCACCGACCCCTGACTCAGGCCCTCCCTATCTTCTGTATACGTCGAAGTTGTATCATGCTGCGTAATCACACTGGAGTCTCTCAACGAGCCACTTCCAATACTACCCGTTATCAGAGAATTCGTTGACGAATTACTCGGTGTCTTCTCACTCTTACTGGTAGACAGAGAAAGTGGAGATACTTTATTGGGTTTGATGTCCAATGATTCAGAAAGTCTACTTCCTATGCTTGTGCTGCCCCCAGCTGCCTTCACTCCCGACGTCTTCGACTCTGTAGAAGACAAGGAAACGTGGTGTTTCGAAGAAGATCTCGTCTTCTCATCCTCAGTGCACAAGTACGAGTAAGAATAATTCTGAGAACCCTTAGTTGCAACGTCCTTTTTTATATCCCTCGTGCTGCTTTCCTCCGTTCCTTTAGTGGATTCGGCAATTTTTCCTGGGACTTTTTTCACCCTCGGCATTGAGGCCCATGTTGTGGTACTTCCGTCTGTCGAGCTGCTGTAGCTGTACCCATAGCTTTCGCTGCCCTCTGTCCCAACCGAATCGGAGCCATTGCGACTGCGGGACCCAGATGTCGTACTGCTGTAAGTGTGGGTCACGGAACCCTCTCCTCGTCCCTTTTCCGTGGATAAACTTTCCGAGTATGTGTAGGACAAGGATGATTCCTCAGGTTTCACATCATGAGTTGACTTCAACCGCTTGTCTTGTGTTGCGTAATATTTGCCTTTTTTCGTAGACTCCGTGCTATAACTGTAGCTGTAGCTAGAACCACTACTACTCCCCGTGTCTTCTTCCTCGCTACTGCTGGAGCTGTGACTGTAGCTGTAACCATACCCTTTGCTATCACCATAGCTATCGGATGATGCGCCATTGGTATTGGATGGACTTTCCTTTTTTGCTTCAGCAGAAATCGGTTGATTAACCTGAGATGATGTAATAGGCCGTGGCGGTTGTGGCACAGGCAGTGGCAAATCCGGGAAGGATAAAAACTTCTTTTGCCCGGTTAGCGGTGGTTCTTGTGTCACTGTCGACGCTGTCCCCGTCTCCGTAGCGGACTCTGTTTCCGAGTAGCTGTAGCTGTAGCTCCCACTGTCGGAGCGACTGGAAGACGACGATGTCGACACCCTTTCATTGGTGGAGTCCAGTGGGCGTAACGGGAGAGAAGTCACAGGTTTTGGCTGCTGTTCCCACATTTCTTCTTTCTTCTCCCACCCCACCACCTTTCCCCGCGAGCAAAAAATGCAGGCAATGCTCCCCACACACACACCCCTAAAAAAAAAATTAACTTGAAAAAAAATGGCCAAAAATGTACTCCACTCCCTCAGTCCTCCTTCTATTTTGCCCACACCCTCACTCGCTCACTCCTCAAGAAGTTACTTCTATATGGGCCTCGTGCTATAAAAAAATTAATAAACAGATACCTTCTTCTCTGCCGCGTCAATGTACGTTACACGGATGCCAGGATGGTAATTATCTTAGAAATGACAAGGCCGAGAGAAAAGAAAAAAAAGAGAGAGAACCAAAGGAGCATCAAGACAAGATGGCGCACATGCACACAGACACACACACAAATATATACATGCAGTAACCATTCCTTTTGCAACTAAAACGCACCAGAAAAAGAAGAAAAAAAAAAAAAAAAGAAAGGAATCCCCGTAGATTTATATACAGGTTTATAAACACACATTTGGCTGCCACTCCGGTCAATTTGCTTCTTCATTTGCGGAACTATTTTTGCCTTGGTTGCAATCACAAAATAGTACCGCTCTCAACGCACACACACACACACACATACATACACACGCAGGCCGCCCCACAAAAAAAAAAAGAAAATTCCCGTTGCTCTGTTAACCAAGTCACCCAAATACTTTTTTTCCTTCTTCTTCTTTTTCATAGGAATCCCACTCTTTGGTTCCATTCATTCTCTTCATATTTCTGGCCCCCTCCCCTCCCTTCCCCTCCTTTCCTCCCTCAGCCAACTCCGCACACAAAAGAAAGTAAATAAAATATGTTGAAAAGAAATAAAATGTTCACAACTTTTACTTCATATAAACCTGTATTGTATTCTATATAACATTTAATTGAGTTATTTATTTTCCTTTATTTGCGTATTCATGTCGAATGCGTGCATGCACGTAGACATGTACGTCTGTCTCATCCGTATCTCGTCCTTGAATATATAAAAATATGAATTTCTTTTACTTTTTCCCCTTCTCCCTTCACCCTGACTGTACGCGGCCTTCTCCCAGTATTATTGATTTGTTGTTGTTGTTGTTGTTTTTGCCGGCGCAACGTTACCAGCCGCCCAAACCGAATGCGCGCATGCACGCTGCGTGTCCCGCCTCCCTCCCATTTTTGCAGCGTTACACGCAGAAAACTTAAAGAAAAAAAAGACAAGTAAAAAAATCAAACACAACCGGCCATTAAACCCTCCCGCAAAAAAAAAAAAAAAAAAAAAAAATTATACCAATTACCCTCCTCTCTCTCTCCGACTGTTTATTCATGTGCATGCATGCAGATATATTTATATTTATATATCCCGGCAATCACGTGAGCAAACATATAAGAGAAATCACTTCCCTTTTCTCTCTCTCTCTCTCTCTCTTTCAGTTTTGTTTTCTCTTTCATAACACGCAGAAAAAAAAAACACAATAAAAATAAAAATAAATAAACAAAACAAACAAGCCTTCACCCCATATAAGTCCCACTAAGAAAGAAAGACGGTATCTCATTGGAGGCAATCCAAACCACACAACATCAGAATTGTTGTTTATTGTTGTGTCGATGACGCATTTATTTATTTTTTTTTTTTTTTTTTGACCGTTTCACTCCTCACTCGCCAACAAAACCCAACTCCCCTCGTCTCATCCCTCCTCATGTGTCTTCCCACCGTTACATCGTACAAACAGTCAACATTGCATGCATACATACATGTACGGCCCTCCACGTCCTTTCACCTCCGCTCCATCGCCCCCCCCCCCCCCCCCACACACACACACAAAGCCAAAGAAAAATCAACGCACATAACACCAACAATAATGGCAACACAACAAAAAGAAAAAAAAAAAGCTTATAAATTCATGCATGCGTTTCTGACAAAAAAAAAAATAAAATAAAAAGAAGAAAGAAATAAAAATTTCGCCGCAAAAAAAAAAAAACCACTCAACATTCAACAAAAAAGAAAAAAAGACGAACGTTGTGCCAGACCCGCAACACACACACACCTCTCTCTCTCTAGAGGTTCACGCGCCCCTTCCCGCTCATGCGGCCCATGGCATTGGCCGTCGTGCGTGAGTCCAAAACAAACAAAAGAAAAAAAAGGAGAAATGCGGGAAGAATAAAACATGACAACATGTCTCCCTCCCCCTTTGGACGCGGTGTATGCCCAAGCAGGCCCTGTGGAGAAACAGGGCCCACCCTTGTGCGCGCCAGTGAGGGCACAGGGAACCCCGTGGCGTGATGTCACACATCCTCTCACGCACAAGCCCCCCCGTGGTGCATCCTGCAAGCAACTCACATTTTCTGTCGGCACAACTTTTTTTGTCCTTTTTTTAATTCAGGATATAAAAAAAGGACAAAAAACTGTTCACCGCAACAAGTGTATATATCGTCCTAATAGCGCCTCACCTGTTTCACCCCGGACCCTGTTCCATTCACATGCATCACTTAATTTTTTTAGAGATATTGTTTTTTGTTGCTGTTGTTGTTGTTTATTTTTTTTGAAAAGTATTTCTGTTTTTGCGCATGTTCCAACCCCTCAATCCTTCTCTCACGACCGAAGACAGGTTTTCTCATTTTTTAATCAAAATGTCGCCATCAGTAATTCCTTTTATTTTCTTTCTTTTAGGCTTCTAATTTCTCCTTCCGTTGTGTCTTACGACCGTGTGGAATTGCATCCTCTCTTAACTCCTTTGCATCATGCGCCCCCGCTGGTTTCGGTGAGACACATCTGTTCTTTTTTTTCATCTCCAGCATGCTCCTCTTCACTTCACTTAAAAAGATGGTTACGGCAACGACAACACGGTGGCCCACGATGGGCAAATGATCCACTTTTTGCGGGATGTTGGCCGCTGTGAGTAATTCCCGTGTCCTCTGTGTCACCCGGCAGTTCTGAACATAGCTGGTGGTATTCTTCACAAAAGTTAACTTCAACACCTCCTCAAAAAACGCATTCATGAGAAGAATTACACCGGCAAATAACTGTGCTACCGCCGTGAGGGCGAGGCGGGCATCCCGTTTAAAAACCGCGCTCTTTCCATTGTCGCAGATGGTTTGCAGATGTGGCTTGCTCTCGTCCACAGCAGTGCGGACTTTGGTGCGAACCGTGTCGAGTTTGTCCATGCAAGCTGTCTTTTGCTCTCGAATGACCTCGCTCGTCTTGCTCAAACGTTTGGCCGACTTATTCACAAGCCCTCTTGCAGAATCCACAAGGGGTTCAACGGAGTCCTTCGCTGTTGTTGCGTACGTCTCCACCTGCTGGCGTCCATGCGTAATTTTGCTCTGAACCGCCTCCACGGCCGCACTGTGGTACGCCTCGGCTGATGTTTTGGCATCATTAAGAATTTTTCTGCCGGATTCCACGTACTGATCGGCAACCGAAATTATCTTCGCGGCGTAGGAGTTGCTGCCCCCATCCTCACCATTCGCTTCGCCCGCCCCGCTGACGTACGAGGCTGCAGACTCAATCATATCTCCAATGCGCTGTTTTCCCTCATCGGCAAGTTTCTGTGCCTTCTCCTTTGTTGCGTTAAGCGACTGATTTGTTTTCGTCACGGCGCCGTTAAGAGTCTCGCGGCCCACCTCAGTGCAGTCACGCACACCCTGCTTGACTTTCTCCACGGCACTCCTCACGGGTTTTTCCAGAGACGCCTTGGCCCCCAACACGGCTTCTCTACCGGTTTCGACGCATTCATTGATCTCCTGCTTAACGATTCCCGTATCGCTGCGCATTTCGGCTGCGGTTGAACTCATCGTTCTGTCCTTTTTTTTTCTTTCTTTTTTTCTCTTCTTCTTTTGAATGCCAATAAAATAACTCCTTCCGGTACTTTTGGTTTACTCTTTTTTTTCTTTTTTTTTTTTTACTTTTCCTTCCCTCCTTATCTTGCGTTTTAACTTCGGTGTACTGGGTGCTTTGATGCCATCGGGACAAACCACAGACCGCGTAGCGCGGGCGCGCAATAATAATTAAAAAAAAAGGAACGCAACATAAAATGCAGCGCAATAAAAGAAAGACGGACGCACATGTCATTGAGACGAAGCGACACACACGCAGTCGCAAATAAATCAACAACAACAACAACAAGACGTCTTTGGGTTTCTGTGTGCATGCTGTTTTTTAACCGAAAGCTCTCTTTTTTATTCCTTTCCTCCTTTTTTTTTTCATTCATCACGTCTCCCTCGTTATTAACGAAGTTAATTAAACACACAAATAGAGAGAGAGAGAGAGAGGGAAAGGGAAAAGGAAAAAAAGAAGCACGCCCCGCGTTGATGTCATGTTGCTGCCCCCTTCCTCCCCTCGTTAATTATTTTATGTATTTATATATATATATATATGTTGCTTTCCCCACTCCCTCTCTCCCTTTTCTTCTCAGAGGAGAGAAAGAGAGGGAGAAAAGAGAACACGGTGGGAAAAACAACAACGTGGGGTGAAGTGAGGGCGTGCGCGGCATCGGAGACATCCGCCGCCTCCATCATTATTGGCGTTGGCACCACACGTCATCATCCCCCCAGTTTTGTTGCCGCTTCTTGGCGCCCTGCCGCCATTGAAAAAACACCCACTCGAACAAGTAAACATGCACATAAAAGGCACTGACGTCCCACACTCTTTTTTTTTTTTTCGTTACCATTTCTTTCCCGCCGTGGTGCTGCAGTAACAGCAGCCAAGGGAAAAAAGGAGAATCAGAAACAACGAAAAAAAAAAAGATCACTCCATTGCAGCTGCTGAAGCCAATTTCTGTTCCCGCCAACGTTGAAACGCCTTCTCCCGGTGCTCATGCAAACGACGTTTGCGCTCCCGATTCTTCGCTATGCGCTCCTGCTTGGCAATCATGATGCGCTTGCGTTTTTCTTCCTTTTCCTCCTTTGTGAGAACCCGTGACTTCTCCTCTCGAAGTACCTGTCTCCGCAGACGATCGTCAATCTTCATGGTCTCACGGCGACGTCGTTTGAGCGCCCGCTCGGCGTCAGTCAAATCTCCGTTGCGGTACGCCACAAGAGCTTTGACAACCTTTGCACGCACACGTTTTGCTCGCTTGTAAAAAACTGCCTTCTCTTTTCTTCCTTGTTTTTCAAACTGTTGATAGAGAACCTTGACTGGGACTGGCGCCTTGGTTTCTTTGGCACGTGGTGTAAGACCGAGCAGCCGCTCCATCCCTGCAAGAAGACGAATGGACGCGGCGGACATTTGGAGCGAATCATCATTAACGGCCTCCTCTACGACGGATGCAAGCCACGCGGTGTCCAGGTGTACACGACTGTTGTATTTTGCCACCATCTTCAAGCAATGGAAGTAGTCGTACAACAATGTGTACTTCATCTCATACACGGCTCGAACTGTTGTAGACTGCAGGAACGACGTAATGGCGGTGCCAGCGGCAGTCTTCAACGAAGCGCCCATGCCAGAGAGCCGCGGTAGCATCGCCTCAATCATCTGGCAGCAACCTTTAAATACACGCACTCGTTGTGGTCCTGCAATTCCTTCCACCTCACCAAACTTCTCAAAGGCTGACGGTAGCACCACCCAGCCAAAGCCGTGGCGATAGTGGTGCATGTCACGCTTGATGCCAGGTAGACGTTTTTTGTCATTCCAGCCACGGTCACAAAAGATGGACTTGTAAAACTCCAAAAGCGTCACTCGGACATCCTCACCGGCATGATTTTTATACGCAAGGAAGGCAACAAAGTGAAACACACGTAGAGCAAGATCCCTCAACAACGCCATTCGACGACGTATAGTGACTGCATGTTTGGCAGACTGACTCTCCTTGCGTACCAACACGTGGTCTAACTTGCGACAGTAACTCTGGATGTCGGAGAGCAGTTGAAACAACTCTTCTGGCACGAGGAACCGACCAAAATATCGATTTTTGGTCATCATGAGAATTTGAGTGGAGGAGACAGCACTGTTGAAGATAACATCATCCGGGGATTTCACATTCTCGCGGCAAACGGCTAAGAGCACCTGAAAGATGTGAAGCATCAACGGGCAACGCATCGATGCACCAACACGCGCGGCAATTTGAATCGCCCGCACAACATTACTCTTGTCTTTATTTGATGTGTCTACAGGGTAGATAAACTGCAAATCCACATTTCCAATCATCCCCCTTAATGCGTCGATGTATTGCTGCGTGGGAGCCTCTTCCTCTTCCTCTTCTCCCTCCTCCTGATCCCCCTCCATAAAATCTTCCTTGTCACTTAACTCATCAGCGTCACTGGTGGCCTCTTCTTCAGCCTCGTCGTCAGGCGCAGTAGCAGCCGTGCTTTCTGTAGCTACACTTTCTTCCGATTCACTTGTGTCCGAAGTCCCAGTCGTATCCTCCCCATCCTCCTCTTCATTCTCATCCTCTCGCAGCTCCTCACTGCCTTCATCATTATCCTTATTAGAGTCGTTGTCGTTGTCGTCGTCGTCGTCATCATCATCGTCACTGTCTTCCTTTTCCGTTTCACCCCTTGCTTTTGCCTGACGCGACCTCTCACGATCGTCGGTGTGAAAGGCCTCACGAAGTGGGGCAAGAATCAAGTCAAGTGTTAGACGCTCCCGTACGTGACGAGCAAACTTTAGTAAGTACCCAGTAGCAATACGTCGAATGCATGTCATCAGAGGAATCACATGAATTGGTGCCGTTGACCGCATAGTGAGCGCCATTAGCACATCAACGAAAAGGTCAATGGTCTCTAATGTGCCGGTAAGGAAAAATTGGCAAATATCTGGCACGGTTGAAGTCGCCAATGCTTTTGCCTCGTCATTTGTGTAGTCATCGGTGCTCAACACCAAAAAAAGTAGCACAAGCAATATGTGCATGTCGCGCTCTGCATAAAACAAGACGCTGCGCTTTGAAGAATTCTCCAGTGCCTCCACAATACGATTTCGCGCCTTTCGAAAAACACTTTGGGAAACACCCGTGGTGTATCGCGTTGCTTCCCGTTTTTCCGCCTCCAGATAGGCACGAATAATATCCAATGGATTCAACGTGCACTTTGGTCTGGATAACGCAGCCGTATACGTAAAGGAAAAAACCTCTGCAAAAAGAAAAATGGCACGGTTCATGCTGCGCGTGTCACGATGTGGTGGTGATGGGTAGAAACCAAACTCCAAGAGTGCTTCTGCGGCGTCATCAATATATGTGCATTTCACACCCTCCCGGAGAGGAACGTAAAGGCATGACCGTAACTCGCGTAATACCCATGCGCGGTTTGCGGAAGCTGACATGTCCGAGTCGCGTGTGACACGGTAATGCCGGAGGAGGTCACGCACCTTCGCGTCAAGCAATTCTAATGGCATATTTCGAAGCTCTGCGATGTCTGTGGCTTTGGCGATGGTGCGTCTTCCATAGCCAACGGTCTTGCTGGCCATCTGCAGTATTTCGGCTCGCTGCTCGGCATCATCGTTTTGAACAGCCAATTGACCAAGACGAGAGACAAGTTGTTGAAACAGCGCACGCCGTGGGGTATCGGCGTTTCCACGACGGTAAGGAGCAATGGCGTTATGCACCATTGTGCTCAAATGCTCCTTCATGGACTCTCCCGCGGCGCAGCGTTGTGCCACAATATCAAACCAGTCTGTCCATACGGGATGCACCATCGGGTACACCATTGTCACCTGCTCCTTTCGGAATAACGCGTTGGCAATCTGTTCCACCGTGGAGGGCTCCAAGGGATCCATCGCAGCATATTTCATCACCACAGTAGGAACCCCTCTTTTCATGCCTGGGGGCTTTTCCTCCATCATCATGAGACGCAGCAGCAACTGGACTCCCTCTGGACGGTAGTACTCCAGTTTCGGATAGAGAAAAAAGGCGTACGACAACCATTCCAATACTGTTTTGTCTTCCCAGAGCGAGGGAAATTTCTCAATGATGTTGAAAAATAGATTTGCTGTCAATACTCGCAAAGCCTTCTGCTCAATGTATGCAAAACACAAATAATGGACAAGTCTTTGTGCGTCTTCAAGGCGCAATTTGCGAGGGTTGGCGACAATAACCGCAGTTGTAAACACAGTGGCAATCAATTGTTGATTGCGTTCCCCCCTTGTAGGGTCATTGATCTTGTCCGGGTCAATATCATCCAACTCTTCATCTGCCTGCTGTTGTTGTTCTTGTGTCAGCGTATCCTTCTTTGCTGCACGAGCCTCAAGACGAGCTTTGGAAGCTTTTAGACGAACGTCCAACGCCAGCTCCTCACCAATGAGTGAAAGTATAACGGAAGGTGTCACGGTAGTATCACGCAATAGCAAGAACAGAGTGTGTGCATGCAGGAGAATCATTGCCATATCTTCTGTAACCATACCCAGTAATAGACGTGATAAAGCGTAAGGAACAGCATGATGGGATGTCTCGCGTAAACTCTTCAAAGAGTGACAGTCCACATCTTCTGATAACTTGGCTTTTAAATGATTCAAAAACGCATGTTGTCCTTCTTTGCGACGTGACGAATTGTGTCGCAAACACATTTGTAAAAGTGCTCGAATGTGTTCTCTTTCCCTCACAGTTTTAGAGAGCGCCGCACGTGCCTGACTCACCTTGCCGTGGTCTTTTTCCTTTCTGGCCTCTTCCCCATCCTGCTCTTCCCTCTCGTCATTCTCATCCTCCTTCGCCACGGATGCATCCTGTCCTTCAACTCCATTTTTCTTCGAGGAAAAACTGTGTCCTTTACCCTTGTTGAGCTCGTACGAGGCCCACTCGTACCAAACGATGAAGGCGTGAACAATGCTTGGCGCACCACGTTCAAACTTGCTAATGTATGATCGGAGGGATTTTACGTCCTCCGGCAGGTGTTGCCGTACGAAGGGCGGTGGCACAAACTTAAAAATTTGACTGAGTTCTTTTCCAAAGATTTCAGTCGCGTTTAGTTGGCATTTAAATTTCGACAGGTCCACTCGCAGCTCTGCAGAAACTTTGGCTGCCAAGTGAATGTCGATGTTGTCCGTGCGCGCCGACCTTTGTCGTCGTTGTTCTCCATTACCTCTCTCTGCCTGTTGGCCACCGGAACGACCGTGGGCGCCACCCCGCCCCCGCTGCATCATCTGCTCCGGGACGTATTTCTGCTTTTGGTACTTTGCATTTGCCTTCTTGATGCGGCCTGATTTCTCCCGCTTCGCCGCGCTGGCAGTCTTGCGCCGAGAGGAGGGCGGCATTTCTTCCCTCGCGTGAGTGGCTCAATACCTATGTATGTATGTGTGTGTGTGTGTGTGTGTGTGTGTGTGTGTTTTGTTTATTCCCCTGCACAGAAGCAGTGAAAAAAAAAAAAGGAAAGAAAAAAAGATAAAGACAGCCATGACGCAGCAAAAATTTCATGATTCTCAAAAACAAGAAAACGCGGCCATGCATACAAAACGCACGCAGGCACCCCTCGTCTCGTGGGGTTGGGGTTTTGCGTAGCGTGCAGCGGAAATTTGCACAGGAAAGGCAAAACGGAATTCATTGGCAAAAAGGCATCATAAATTTCATGTCATGCACGTGTGGTCACCCCGCAATGAACGGCAAAACACATGAGCTCAGGAACGGCACCAACCCCCCAAAAAAGAACAATAACAATAATAACAGAGCATGAGGAAAATAATAATGATAATAATTTCAAGCTCACCGCAGGTCACCTCTTATTCTTTTTTGTTTCTTTGCTTAGTTTTCTCTCCCGGCATCTTTGCGGCATCGCATACACTCAACTTTTTTTTTCCTCCTCGTGTCATCCCTCTCTCTTTTTTTTTCTTTCTTTTTTTTTTCAGCTCATTTTGATTTGCTCACCCCCTTCCAGCCTTGTGGTTTCCGCTAATATTGCACCCAAAACTTGTTTGGCGCGCCCGCACTCACAGACACACGGAATGAGTGAGCCGTTCTGGCTTTGTGCATACATGATGCTGGGAAAGCGGCGCAACAAAAAGGACAAACACGAACAATCGATAATTAGGAAGGAAAGACATACAAAAAACACACACCACAAGCATCATGTTCGTAATAAAGTAAAAAGAAAAAGAAAAAAAAAACCTCAAAAATTTATTACGGTCACCACGTTGCGGTAGCCGACGTTGCCAGAAAAGCCAGATAACATTGCCCCGCAGGAGTCCTTAAGAGGACATCCTCATTCCACGTAAATTCCATCAGTATCACCTCAGTAACAGGCATCTCAAAAATGATTTTTAGTGCATCAGCATAAATTGGATGCGCTGTTGCAGAGCTTCAGACAACCCGTTGTTATTACCCCCCGCCATTCCAGTGGATTTCTTCGTGGGATCAAAAAATCTGTTGTAAAGGAGTATGATTTCATGCAGTGACAACCTCATCTGTTGCCCTTGCGAAACGGCCGTTGGATAGGCACATGGAATATTTCCACGGAACTCTTCTGCCCGGGCAACCACCAGCGGTCGAATGCTCCGCCACTCCAAATCCGTCAATTCCCGCAAAAACATCTGTTCTCCAATTCCCCTGCATTGATCCTCATTAAATAAACCAGTCTTTTCAATATCAATGATTTGGGCGTATTTTAGCAAGCAGCTATATTGTTCCCTATTCATGTTGTACATCCGACTCGGATCCCGCCGATACACCGAGCTCCACAAGCAGACACTTTCAAATGAAACACATCCTCCTTCTATCGGCTGCATTGCCATGTTAAATAGGTCAATAACGTCATTTGGGTGGCTTGGTAAATTCATGTACCGGAGCATTCTACATGCATCACACCACTGCAGCTCCAAGTTTGTGCGCGTTGAATTCAACGTGGCAAACTCCGGCCAAATATCCCTCATGAATTTAAACTCATCCTCCGACAAACCGTAGTCGCTCGCCACGCATGACACCGTCTCCTTCCACCGTCTGATGCCTTCTGCAGAAAGGGAAATGGAAGAGACGGGCCTCAACGCATTCGCGTTGAGCTTCGGAGGTGAAGCTCGGGACCGCACTTCTTGTTGTTTTTGTTGTTGCTCCTGCTGTGAACTAAAATCCGGGCTGGATTGGCCGGCATCATTCGTCTCCGGCCTATCCAACATGTACCCCCGGCCAACACGACTACCCAGTGGAGGGCTCGTTGAAGAGACATTCAAGAAGAAGAGAAAGAGGGTTTTGCGTTGCACGTCACGTGATCGTGGTTGAAATTCTCGAAGGTGCCGACCCAACCGCACACGCTGCACCGCCCCTTTGAATGCTTCTGCAGCTCCAAAATCGCCACGTTTGGCCGCCTCCGCTGCTCGATGGTCGCGGAGCACTCGGGGCACCGATCCACGCTCTCCACACACGCCTCACAAAAAATATGACGGCATGGAAATATCTCAAGCGGGCACACCCACTGGCACAGACACACGCCACACTCGCCAAAATTACTATCGGACTGAAAATACCGGGAGGCCGAGGCCCCATCAGGCGCAACGTCCGCCATCACTTTTGCAGCCAAAGACGCAAAAAAAAAAAAAAGGGAAAAGAAGAAAACAAATACACCACCGCAATCCAGAAGCACGCAATGCCTCGTTGCCATGTAAAAAAAAAAAAACATGGAGAAAACAAATATCTTAAAAGAAAACAAAAACAAAAAGAAAAACAAAAGGAATCAATACAACTTTTTCCTTTTTTTTTTCTTTAACGGCATGCGACCCAGAACGCCGCGACGCGCACAGGGCACTCTGTTTCCCCGCATAAGAACCCTAAAAACGTCCCTTTGGGAGGAGCAGGCATGCCGCCTCTTATCTCTCTGAGAGGGAAAAGTCTTTAAACCAAAAAATAAAAAAATAAAGACAAGAGAAGGAAAGGAAAAATAAATAAATAATAAATATAAATAATAATAATTCTGCGGTCTGTTCAGCAAAACGGATCTGCTCACGCGTGTTGCGTAGGCGATTCAGCCAGGCCATCCAAAGTCTGGCTGGCGTTGGCACTTATTACCTTTGTCAATCCGTCCTCTTCAATCGGCACGGCTGCCGCCGCATCCATGGCCGCACCACCACTTTTCAAATCCGTTGAATCACGCGCAGGACTCTCAAGGCGACGGCGTTTAGAGGCAGCACCGTCAGACTCCACATCGGCTTCGTGATCGGCGGCAACAAAACCACAATTCTGTTCTTCTTCACCATTCTGCGGCAATTGCTCCTCATTTTCCTCGGTTCTTTCTTCCTCGTCCATGGCGCTCACACCACCCTCAACCACATCTGACGCGTCCACCGCGAGCGGTACCGCGCTCTCTGTTGACCTGGCAACGTCATCACCCGCTGAAGGCACATCTGCACGTTCTTTGTTTGTTTCAGGGACGTCAGGGCACACAACATCGCTCAGAGGAACTTCCTGAACCTCGCATGGGACCACCTCGGCACTGTAGAGAGACATCGTTTGGAAATCGTTGGATGAATACTGAAAAATTGCGGATTGAGAGTGTTTCGACGGATCTATTCAGGCCCGTTGTAACACCCACAAAGACCATCCAGCAAAAAAAAAAAAAAAAAATTGGAAGCAGCAATAAAAACAAGAACAAAAAACAATAACAAATGTTTATATAATACAAATCCCTTTTCCAGCCAAGAAGAGAGCCGTGGTAAAGACACGGTGAGGCACACATCCCATACATTTTATGGCGGTATGCACCAAAAAACAAAACATTACAAAAAAAAAAAAAAAGAGAGAGGGGGCAACACTCACAAACGCAGGGAAACAGGGAAAAAAACAACCATCACGCTGTAAAGAGAGACAGTGAGAGATCGTAGCTCTGTGCAGCAAGCAGATCCATCTCTGTCACCATACCATGCGCACCCGTTCTCCTTTTATCTGCGGGCCTCAACTCGGAAATATATCGACAACACTTCTCTGAGAATCCCACTAACCTCGCGGCGGGGATGTATTCCATCATTAAAAGAAAGCGGGTAAATGCTGTTGTGTACAGAAATGCTTGCGACATCTCTCCACTCAACGATGGTGAGGGGGCCTCAGCAGCGGCAGCAGCGGGAGAAGAAACACGGCGACCTCCACGATGATTTTTCTTAGTGCGTTCTATCCCCTTTTCAAGTAGGGTCGCCTCGCGCAGGGCCAAGAAGAGAAATCGCATAGAAGTTGCCACAAGCCGATCGCGAGTTGTGAATAAAAAATTAGACATTCGATAAGAAGATTGTTTCAAATCACGTTGTTTTGAAAGGAAATGCCACAGAAATGAGTCATCCTCCTCGTACAAGGAACTGGACTCGTCGAGGTGAAGCCACCCCGCACTCTCGGATGGACCACAGCAACAAAGTGCATTGTTGTATTCAGTGGAGAAACCTGGCACAACACCAAACGCCATTTGTACTTCGGCCACAAGATCTGCCATACGCAAATGCGATACTGCCAGAAGCCAGTAGCGACGATGTTCAGGCAACGTGTCACCGTCAGGAGTCTTCGCTGGTTTTTGCCGCACCCTCGCTATATACAGTGAAATAATGTACTCCACCGCCTTTACGGACTCCTCGTTGAGTACAGAGAAGAACCCATGTCCTCCGCTTTCCAGCGGGAAACCAGCTACCGAAAAAGAAGGAAAAGATGCAGGCATCTGACTTACCTCAAATTCCCCGCGCAGCGCCCGTAGAACGGAAGCAAAAAAATGATACAACGATGGGGTCTCATCCAACAGGCAGCCAAACGCGCAAAGACAAAAGAAAACTTCCTCAAGAGCCAGAACAATGGATTGTGCATGTGATGCACTCCTACATGCAGCCAAAGCAGCAGCGGCAGTAGAATCAACAGCATCATCCCCTTGAATGTCTACAGAAGCATCTCTAGCATCCACTCCATCTCCAGAAACAAATCCAAAGCATCGCACCATGGACGCAAAGCTTAACGCCGCACAGACTGGAGGAGGCCGCAGTAAGGCGAGAGCAGCCGTGTCTTCAGCTAACTGTCGTTCAAACGTATACGAAGCCAAATCAAGAAACGTCAGCTGAAGATGTGGCAAACTCGACTCGTAAGGCAAAAGCGTACATCGCGTACGATCCAAATGAAGAAATATATGCCCTGACGCCGCCTCTACTAATCGTGACAACTCTATGGATAAACTATCCGCAACGTTGAATGCTCCAAATGGACGTTGTACAGCAAAAAATAGGCGCACGACACCCAGCTGCGAGAGAACACGCTGCAGTTTTACAAGCAACTGTGCCCCGATAAAGACAACAGGAATTTGTCGTATAAGATCGTGAAGAACAACACAAATCTCCGCTGGTATTGACAAATCCTTCCTGTTGCTCTGCTGCCAATGTCTGATTGAAAATGGAATGGTTAATTCAAAGAACGGTACCGCATCCATTTTGCTCCAGCGCTGCAGAGCCTCAGCAAGCCCGGGAAGGCAGTTCATCCATCGTTTCAGTAAAAAAGAATAAATGGAAATAATGACATCCATAAATTTTCGGGGAAATAAAGCGTCAGAAACATTGTGTGGGTTCATTTCAAGAAGCGCCTGCGTCACCCACGACTGCATCGGTGTGGCGTCGTTCGAAGAGAAAGTAGGCGATGCCGCCGCCACACCACTCGTTGTCGCCTCCGCAAGCAGCCAAATCCAAGCATCTAGGGGCAATAAAAAATGTGTGGTGTGGGGAACCGCGTGCAGCTCTGAGAGCTCCACAGTGTTCACTGAAGGCGCCGCCCCCTCCAACTGCCACAGTTGATGCTCCGCATTGTACACAATGAACGGAAAGTGGGTGCTCAACACCTTATTCAGCGCCCCTTGTATTGTGGCGTGCATCTGCAGCAAACGTGCGTCATTGCTACCGGAAAAGGACGGAGCGGCATCGCCAGTATTCTTCCTTTCATTTTCCTGTCGCAGCAAAAAGTCCGACCCCACGCGTCGAAGTAACGTTATTGTGCAAAACACTAAATTTGCCAGCGTCGTGGAAACACTGCGCTCAAATGTACCAAATTTTGTACTCGCGTGAATACGTTGCAAAAAGAGAAACACGGAATGCAATGTTGTGGGGATCAGCAAGCGCAGCAAATCCATCCACTGACTGGCGTGGACAATGGAATTGCGTCGATGCGTGTGGTACGCGTGAACCACCGCCTGCACCACCGTCTCTGCGCAGTGCTGCACGGCCTCCAGTGAGTCACGCTCCATGGCGAGAAGAAGACATTGGACGCCGTGGGCGACAACCTCCGTCACCATGGAAGGATCCTGTGCCGCATGCATGTCATGCAATCCATACAATTCCCCCAAACTGTGCGACGGTAAACAAAGACAGAGTTCACGGCCCTTGCCCCTTCCTTTTTTCGTTTGCAATTATTTCCCTCTCTCCACTTATCCCACCAGAAAAAAACAAAAAAAAAAAGAGAGAGAGAGAGAGAAAAAAAAAAAAAAAAAGCAAAAAAGGTAAAATTATAAGAAAATAAAGAGTGTACATGCAACCAACACTCTCCTCCTTTCGGGAACGAATATTCTTCGCTCGGCTTAAGTCTTTTGACCATTCGGTAACGGCGCATGCACACGTACGCAAAAGCAAATATGTAGATATATGTATACTTCACAAAGTTCAGAATTGTTTTTGGCTCAATGCCTCCAAAACATCTTCAAGTTCCGCCAAAAGTTGGTACGCATCCGCGTGGGAAAGCTGCAGCGGCAAAACCTCTTCCTTGCCCAGACCCAACGTTTCCGTTGACATTGTCTCATCTGAAACCGCAACCATAGCGTCCTTTTGGTTAGACAATTGCGGGAGCGTCTCCAGGACAAGCTTTAGCGTCACAGTTGTGTCCCCCACAAGTTCCTCTATCTTTGCAGCAGCTACCACAGAGAGAAACACCGCCGATTCCAGCAGCCTGTGCGTCATTCCCTCCGCCCCCGTCCCCTTTGTGGGCATGCTCCACCTATTTCCCAGTAATATTTCTCTGTACTCCTGATGTTCCCCATGTAAATGAGAGAAGCTTTTATAACACACACAGAAACAAAAGAAAAAAAAAAGAGAAGGAAAAAAAAAAGCCACAAAAAAAAAATATTAGGCATCTATGCATAAACCCTTTCCCCAGGCAGCAGCTTTCCAAAAAATATATTTTCATCCGTACATGTCGCGTGACTGTCTTTTGTCTTCTTTTTTTTTTTTTTTTTTTCCTCCTCAGTTGTCTTAAACCACTTTTTGTTTGTTTTTTTTTTTTTTTTAATGAGGGTATAAATAAATCGTAAATCTGCATCTGCTTCGTTTTCTCTTCTTATTCAGCTTTTTCGAGCACACCCCCTCGCTTAACAAAAGCAAGCAAAAACAAAAGAGAAGTTCCCTGACTTGCTCCGTCTGCCGCCATCGCCTTTTCACTCTTTTGGGACACAGCGCCGCCTCAAAAAGCGTATCAATTGACATCTTGACGAAAAATAACTTCTCTCCCCGTTCAATTTTTTTTTCTTTTTTCTAGCATTTGTTTCTTTCCACCCTTCCCGTCCACTCGCATCTTTTTTAATGTGTAAAATCCCCCTCGTTCATCAGCCTCCTCGTTGTTGTTGTTGTTGTTGTCTTTTTTTTTTTTTTTTGTCTGCCCTCTTTTTTGTTTTTGTGTGTTTTCCTCTCGGTTTTGTGTCTGCATGGGGTTTTTTCATGTCCATTGCCGTGGAGCCCTCGCGCCACAACCCGTCCACGGCGCGTCGCACCGCCACCACCACCGCCCTCACACCGCTGCGGTGTTTCTGCAGCAGGAATAGAAGGGGAGGGCGTTGACGTCGCAACACCCCGGCGTGGGAAAGTGAAGGAGGGATATCCATGGAAAAGAACATAAAGGGGTGAAAGTTAATTGGCCGTGGAAGCACGCCCGGCATTTCATTTCACCCACACGCACAGTACCCAATATCAGCACATCTCCTCCGTACACACATACATCTTTTTTCCACCTTCTTCTTTTTTTCCCCCCATTTCTCTTTTTTCTTTTCCCCCGTCGTTGAGCATTTTCTTTTTTTTAAGTCCGGCAATGCATCTGCAACCCTTCGTCCCTCCCTCTCCCCCTCCGTATCGTTGTACAACAAGAACAAGAAAAAAAAAAAAAAAAAAAAACTTATGTGTCCATACATATAAATATGAAACCTGGATAAAGAAAAAAAGGATCGGGATGTGTGTGTGTATATATATATTACATATACATATACATATACATATATATATTCCAATGTTTTCTTTGCTTCCAGTTGCAAGTTAGTTCCTCTTTTTTGTTGGAGAGGAGGAAGAGTGGCGCTGCAGCAGAGCCTCCTTGTATCGGTGGTGCTCTTTGCTGACGTAATCGGGGTCATACCCCTCACCGTTGGTGCCTACCTCCACCCGCCGCCGGCTGGAGTCTCCACCACGTTTTTCCCGCAGGAGCGCCACTAAACCCAGTTTCAAGGCCACAAAATACGCCACACCACCGAAGAGCAGAAGCAAATTGAAATACAACAAAATCATCTTTGGATCCGTTTCAAGCGACTCATCTACGGTAACAGTGTTGTTGAAGGCGGTGGCGAAGTACGTGTGGTTGGTGACATTGTCTTGGTAGTAAAGACCGAGAATGAGGGTGTAGTCGTTCGGCTCCAGCATCGCGTCGGGGGTGAAGGTATACTGAAAGCTTGTGGTGTCTGTGGGCTGTACGATGCGGGCGTGACGGACAACAGAAAAGTTCTGAATCACCTGGCCGTAAAGATTCAAGGGCGTAAGGTACCCGGCAATGAGCACAACGGTGTGCTGGTGACCCAATTGGTTGTTGCGGTACGCGATGAGGGCGTTCTTCTCCGAACCTGCAGGCAGCGTATGCAACAAATTCATAGGCTTATCGGGGAAGATGACACGCGCGGAGGCCCAAGGGTACTTCCTGGCAGCATCTCCCAGCCCCTCGTTCGTCGTCGTCATCGGCGTCGCCACCTGTCGTGAATGCGCCACCTTCGCCCATATCCTCCGCACGCACTGCGGGTGCCGCAATTAGACAGAGGGCCAGAAGCACAAAAAGAAGTGGAAAAATAGCCGCGGAAAGTAACGAGCGCATCTGCCTTTCTTTCTCCCTTCCTACTTTTGGTAATAAATGTTCTCCCAACAGCGTGTGGTGTGGGTTTACCAGGCAAAAACAAAAAGCAGTTAACTACGCTAACAGCGAGAAAAGGCAGAAATAAGAGAGAGAGAAAGAAAGAAAAAAAAAAAACAGAAAGGAGAGAGAAAAAAAAGGGGAATGAAGCAAAGAAAGTGGCAAATCACTCATCCTTTAAAAAAATAATAATAAAAGTAAAATAAATTTTTGGTGGGGATCTGCATGTACGTATTTGACACACATGCATGCATGCATGCAGACACATACACGGATACAACTATTTTGGTTTCTCGTATACGAGCAGGCATGCTTATATATATATATAAAAAGCCGGTGTATTGTAAGAACATTGCAGACGTGCATTTGTGTATGTACTCCCGTGTGACTCGTCAGACACCTCCGTTGGTTGATTTATTCTGAATGCTTGCCTTGGTGGGTTTCCATGTCCACATGTGGTACCTTCTACAGCTTTATCTTCCCGCCGCTACTTTGTCCCCTATCAACAGCATTTGCGATGATGTCGTGAGTGCGCAAGTACCGCTGGGAGCAGCGATCCACGCAACGCACCTCCTGCATGGAAAGTTCATTTGACCTGAGATCCTTGCAGCAGAGGTTGAAGCACTCTGACTGCAGGCGGCTCATGAGCATCTCAATGCGGAACGACTCCTGCTTCACCTCCAGCTGCATTTTGTCTGAAAAAAACGCCCCGGTCCCAAATAGTGCAAACGAACGGATCGAACGCAATAAAATATATATATATTTCTTCCCTCTTCAAAATAATAAAAAAAAAAGAAGGCAAAAAATAAAATAAAATAAAATATGTGCGCACGAGAATTCCGTCACCACACCCACGCCTGAATGACGTGATGCCGACTGAGCGGGTGTGTGTGCGTGTCGGGAAAGGGAGGGAAAAGAGTTAAAAAAGAAACAAAAAAGTTGATCTCAATACAGTGACGCAGCCAACACCCCTCTGGTGAGTCATGTGCACCCCTCCCCCCCAACGTCCTAACGCGCCATTTCATGCAAACAACAAAGAGGACCCTCATTTCAAAAAAAGAAGAAAAAAAAAAGTGTGCATGTGAAATAAAAACAAATAAAAAATAGAAAAGTGACGACATTCACATGTCCATTACTCGTCCATAAACACCAACTAATTTTCATTCACTTCTTTCCCCTCTACCTTTTTTTTTTTTTTTGCCTTTCCTTCCTGCAGGACACCGTCTCCGCCCCCACACCGCAGAGGTCATCCTTCCTCCCTAATCCCGCCTCTCAGTTCATGTGACCATTCGATAACGCCTTCCCTTTCCATCTTGCTTTTCTTTTTATTGAGGGAACTTTCCACGAAAAAAGAGAAAAAAAATAAATAAATAAAGAAAAAAAGAAAAGAAAATTTATTGGCCTTTATGTCTCATGTGGTCATGCAACATACATGCACGTTGATTTCTGCACACACACACACACACACGTATGCTACTTCCCCTCCCCCCATTTTTTTTCCTCCGTTTCTCTCCTCACACCCTCTCGCCATAACGGGAGACGTGTCAATTGTCACGGGCAATAGGCGCATACCCATAGTTTATGCATGAGGCGGGCGTTCGTCATGGTGAAAGGGTAGGCATGAAGTACCCAAGAGCTCAACGTCACACGCATAAATGTCCCCCCAACACACACACACATTCTCTTTCTCTCTCTCTCGTGCATAGAACTACCGCAATAATAATAATAATAATGAGTGCCAATTCATTCAAAACTGACAGTAATAAAGTTGTTCAATGTGAATAATAACAAATAACAACGCCATGTATAAAAATACCTGCCAAAAATCATTTTTTTTTTTTTTTTTTTTTCTGTTCGCTGCTTAAAATTGACTCCGTGGGCACAGTAGTCTTTGCACTAAAAGAATAAGCTGGTGGATATCCAAGAAAGAGACAGAGAAGCGGACAAACGGAGAGAGAGAGAGAGAGAGAAAGGGAATGGGAGAAACATACATGTATAACTCACCATCATTCTCGCCACAGTTCTCAGGTATCCCTTTTTACCAAATGCATCCCACCGTTTATTTCCACACCACCACCGCCCAGACTCCTCAGCGCACCGGGCATACACACAGAAATAAGCCCCAACATCCCATTACTCTTTCGCATGCTATGACGCACGTTGAGATATTCTGCAGAGCGATTAAATTGGAAAGCAACGTCGAGCTGAGCCGCCGTGCAAGCAGAGTGGTAACTGTGTGGCTGAGAGCGCCCTCAAACAATTCTTCCGTCGGCAATGGAGAGCCCGAAGACGCAGAGGCCCCGAGAAGGGCGCCAACTGACAGCGGCGAGGTCGCCAGCCCCCGCATCGTGCAGGAGGTCGCCGTGGGGCGAACATACCCCGTCAGCAGCGGACTGCGACATGCGTTCAGGTGCCGCTGCGTGAGCGTGCGGCCCATAAAGTAAACACTCCGACGCATAGATTTCCTAATATTCCTTTTAATTCGTTGTTGTTTTTTTTTTTTTTTCTTCCCCCCAATTTTCCCTAAGTACGGTAACTTGCAAATGCGTTCCCAATAAATTTAAAAAAAAAGAAAAAAAAGCGGCTTCACAAATATATATATATATTTTTTTAAGCAGCAACAAAAAAAGAATAAGATGAAATTCGGCCGTTGGAGGCCAAACAGAGCGGGCAGCCCCTACACAGGAATCCAAATATAAACAATTAAACCTGTGGGAAAGAGTTGGGATGCATGCAGGCAGGCACGCACGCAGAATTAAAAGACGCATGCAACCCACGGAGTGAAAAAGCCCTTTCAATGTGCAACAAAAAGCAACTGGCACAAAGAAGAAGAAAAAGAAACACACAAAAAAAAAAACATTACGGTATACAAATATTTTCTTTTTTTTTTTTTTTATTTATTCCTCTTCCTCCTTTTCTTTCTTCTTCATTCATCAGCGGGTTTTTGCTTCTCGCATGGTGGCCGCGACTGGTCGGTGGCTATGTACGATATAAGGGCATTTCCCGGATCTCGCATCTCGTTCCGCACATCAAACCACATGGGCAACTGACGGGCAATGTCCTCCAGCGTACCGTAGCGTTTTACCAACAATCGCGCCTCCTTCGAGAGCTGATTCAAGATATTCCCCTCCTGCGCCCCGTCAATGGACAACAACGCCACCTGTCGCACAAGATCGCCTAACGAATTGCACGGCGGCCGCAGCAATTTCGCTGGCGGTGGGATGCCGTCACGCCTGCCTACAATGAGTGCTGTGGTCCCAAGTGGTTCATAAACGCGGAAACACTCTTTATGTCGCTCAAAAAATTCTTGTCGCATGTTGCCTGCCTCGAACGGCAGGTCACGTACAGACGGCTGCGTACAAAATCGGGACCAATCCACCGGGTGATGAAGCGGCAACAACTCCATCATCATTTTGGCCTTTGCAGCATCGGTTAATTGACGACCCGAGGACGCATTGCGTGAGGATGCGGGAACGCGCGCCCCCTGTGACACGGCTGCGAGGTACGGTGTCCAAATGAGACCGTCCTTCAAAAATAAATAAAGCGAGTGGTGCGCCGCAAAGTCCGCCACGGAGGCATAAGCACATTTCAGCTGCTTCCGAGAAGTAGAAGGCAACGCATTGAAAAAGGCTTCAGGGGAAAGCGGCTTTTTCTCAAGTGCCATCAGACCGTGGCGCAGCACCACAGGTATCGGTGTGGTTTGCCACGTCAAACTCGATGGCTGCGCGTGTGCGGCAAGTACCTCCCAGGGACGAACCATGTACGCCGTCATGTTCACATCAAACAGATGCCGAAGACGATCAAAAACAAAAATACAGGCTGCATCTTCCTGCGTAGAATCGTATAGGTGGAGGCGCTTCAAAAGTTCCGACGGAAGAATATCTTTCAAATCACTCATGGCAATTCCTGACCGTAGGCGTTGAATGTGATCGGGGCCTTTGGCCGCATAAGTGAGAAAAGCCTCAAGAAGCGGCGCTCCCAGAGGCAATACCTCATACCTCGAGGAGAGCCTTGTTTCATCATTAATGTACGGTCTTCGCTCGGCATCCATCATGCGCAGAAACACATCGTTCTCCCCGCTTCCAATGACGCGACAATCAAGGGTCGTTGCCGTAACACGTTGCAACTCTTCCAAAACATCGTCTACAGGCATTCCCGGGGAGAAGGCCATGTAACTTCGAGAATGTCCTGTTACAAAGCTCAGTGGCACGTAGTACGAAAAAGGGACAACTCCATAAAGAAGCGCCATAAGCTTATTCATCTTGGCATCTTCCACCGCAGTGTTGGACGACGTCGGTGGCTCAGGAACCGGACTTTGCAGCTTCACCACACGAGCCCGCGACGTTGGCAGTGGCGCCGGCACACCCCCTCGCAGCTGCATAAACGACGTTGGTGCCATCCTCACCATGCCATTCTGTACCGTTAATAAAGATGGGTACTTCAGCAGAAATGACTCCAAGTACTTCTCATTGCCGCACTTGCGCTGCTCCAACGCAGGTAGGGCGCAGAATAGTTGCGATACTGTCATCTGCTGCTGCGGGGAGACTGCAAGATGTGCGAGTGCCTGCCCAACAATGGGCAAACCGGGGCCAACGCTCCGCAAATCCCCAGCCAACATGACAACTGTTACGCCGGAGGGCAAAATTTCCAGTCGGAAACGCGACGGACGCTCTTGAAAATAACGACGTAACCCACCGGATATGTTTGACATAATGTCAAGCATTTCGTCGCTGAACAGCGCTGTGATGCGGGAGAGCGGCAACGCTCTGTAACGTCGCAGAAGTACACGCATCTGCTCGACAAAAGCCTCATCCTCCTTTACCGTCAGGGACCACCGTATGGTGCATCTCAACGCCCCACGCCCTGTCACCCTCATCGCCGGGCAAAAAACACGCATTTCCCTTCCCCCTCCTCCCGAAGACCTTTATTCCCACCACACAACAACAAAAGGAAAAATATATGTTTTCTGCCGTCAATTTCTTTCCCTTTTATTTCGTTACGGTGGACTTTTCGTGGCGTTGCCGTATTAGCAAGTGCGCCTGTGAGTGAATCCCTTTACCAACAACACCAACAACACCGAGTGCAGTTCCACAACCCTCTGTTGCTGCACGCATGTATTATCCATGAGAACCAACGTGCGTGTGTGTGTGCGTGTAAAAGTGAAGGACGGAGAGCATGCACAACAGGAAAAATAATCTTCAAGACAACATGCATATTAAAAAATAAATAAATTATCCCTCACTCTTAAGGAAAAGCTCGACCGAACGTGGAGAGGGGAAGAAAGGAGGCCGCCACAAAAGGAACCACACACACACACACACATACACGCAAAAAAAAAAAAAAAAAATTTGGCCGCAATAAAAATCCAGCATAGGGACAGTGCCACAACATGCGTATAAGAATATATTTTCTTCCTCCCACCAGATATATTCTTCCCTTTTACCCTGCAGACCACATTTTTTTTTTTTTTATTCCTTTTTGTTTGTTTGTTTGTTTTCTTTTCCTCATCCACCCTTAAATACTGTTATCTTGAGGCAAAGAGCAACAACAACAACAAGCTGACGCCAGAGGAACACGCATAGAAACAAACAAAAGCTTTCAATAAATAAAAACCCTTTGAAGGGTGTCCTGCAAAAAATGGAATAAACTCTGCCCAACAGCCATGCCGAGACCGACACGCAAAGACCCCCATCCAATGTTCAGCCGACTGTTTACCCAGCGCCACGCGGCCACTGGATGACGATTGCGCCAATAGGCACCTGTCAAAAGACTTCTCCATAAGTATTTCGACCTCCCTAGCAACCGGTTCTGTGAACAAGCGCTGCTACTGCTAGTTTGAAGTGGGGCCTTCCTCGCCGATTCCGCAGCAATTGCCTTTGCATCCGTAAAACTCTCCCCGCATACGTAAATAAATCGCACCTGGTAACAAAATGACTGAAGAAGTGACGTGCAGCGCATCGGCACAGAACCAGACGGAGCACCATATATCACGGAACGCGCGTAGTTAAACGGTGAACTCACGATGGAAGCAAGCAGTGCCGCAACAAGGTTTGAGATAAAGGCGCATGCGCCGCACTTTTCCTGATTCCATAGTGCTACACGACCTGTACTATCCGTATTATTATTATTACTATTGGTGGTATTATTATTAGTAGTGGTAGTAGTAGTATGCTTATGATTATAATTTTTATTCGGCAAGGTCGCCCCTGCTGAAACCCGGCAACTGTTGGGTGGCACTTCATCCCCCCGCAGAAAATGAGATGCCCTCTCTGCTGATATGACGTACGGATCAAACACGTCTTTGATAAAGGTGGATCGCCGAAACAGCTCGTAGACGATGCCAAAGACACAGTCACGCAAAGCCGTCGTGCCAATGCCTCGAAAAAAAATCCGTACGCCACTTTCTTTATATACCTCCAGGGCAACCCGAAGAAAACTCACGTTTCCATCCACATTCCACGTGCGGTACTTGACAACCTGCATTCCATTCAACACCGCGCCGTTCACAGAGCCAGCAATTGCACCAATGAGGAAGGCATTCAAATTCGGAGATTGAGATGCATGAAAATACTCCGGTGTTTTGCTCTCAATGAAGATTCGAGCGGAGTCTTGCCAAAACATGTAAGAAGCGCCTACAAGCGTGCGGTAAACGGCAGCATTCATAAAGCCTTGAAATGGCTGTCCAAAGTTACGTCGGTCCAAGAAGTGCTGGCGACGAAACTTCACCCGCACGTAAAGAGCCCTATCGAAGGGGTTAAACAAAATCGCCTGCGCCGCGCCGGACAAAAGCGCCGGACACGCCGTGTGAAAAAAACCTTCCTTAACCGGCTCATTGATTCCAGCCATCAAAACCACGTGCCTTTTGTTTTGCAGCTCAAAGCATGCACGTGTTCCCTAATGAATTCACCTTTTTTCTGGTTTGTTGGTGCCTCGGCTTTTCCTTGGTCGCCCTCGCTGGCGGCGCCCACCTCTTTGTTCCTCCTCAGCCACCCGTCACCCTAACCCTCAGTCTCGGTGAGAGATATGGCGGGATCAGCGGCTCACCTTCTCAGATGGAAACAACAACAAACACACAAATAATACAATATATATATATAATCAAAGGCCGGCAAAAAAAATAATAATAATAATAATAATAATAATCAAAAATTTTCACCCCCGGTGTCAAAGAAAGCCCAGTCGGTATGTGTGTATAGGGAAGAAGAGAGAGACACATGGAACACATGACTCACCCTCACACACCATGTGTACTCGAGTGTAAATGTATGTGTATACTTTAGGGCTTGATTTCTTTAATCCCTCCGGGTTCTTTTCCCTTTTTCTTTCTTCTCGCCCAAATTAGAAACCAATCAAAAAGACAAACATAAACACGCACAAAAGTAAACAAAAAAAAAAAAAAAGATGAGTTCTAAATGTACCAAGGTCCCTCTTCCATTTTTCTCGGTTTGTTCTCCGCCACCTTCCTCTACAATATGCTTTCAGTGCTCTACGGCTTCGCTGCACCCTCTATCCAAGAATGTCACCACCTCCCTCACTTTAAGTGGTTCTCCCCTTTATTCTCTCTTTTCTTTTTTTTTTTTCTTGGTAACTTCGTCTTCTCTCCTTTTTTTCATTCTTGGCAAATTCTTACTCTTCCCCACAGTTAGTAGACTCCGCCACGACGTGCTCTCTTGTACCGGCCGTTGCCATTCCAACCACCCTTATTCCTGTTAACATTCTTGTTGTAACCGGACTCCTGACCACGAGACCTTTTCTTAGCATGTTCCTCCGTGCCAGGGGGAGGCGGCAGCACACCCAACTGTCCGGCGGCGGCCCCAGCAATCCCCGCTGTAGTCTCTGTTGCCTTTGCCGTCGCCGCTGGGTCGCGGGCGTGTTTCACACTTGGCAACTTATTCTTGTGGAGCCAACTCTCCGTGAGGGTACCAGTGGGCATGTGTTTGGCGGAGAAGGCGCTCAAGATGACTCGCACGTTATGGCAGCATCCAATTACCTCCGCATCCTTTTGGCCCGCCGATGACTTCTGCATACGTTTCTTAACGGCGTAAATCAGGAGTGGTTCCATCTGGGCGACGAGCTCCGCCAGACCCATGCACTTCGCAACGAACGCATCATCGTTCAAATACTTCAACATCTCAACTGGTTTTTTTTGTCCTGCCGCCATAACGGCAAAGAGTAGCACCTCGAGAGTCGTCATATTCTCCGGCAACGCACTCCCATCATGCATGACATGCGCCAGCTGTTCCAACACCGCATTGTACAATTTATCAATGTTATCAGGAGTGGCAAGTCGAGCAGCCAGCAACAACACCTTCGCGTGCCACATGCCCCGTGCGGTATTCTTCTCAACAGGTGTTGTAAGAAGCCCTGCATCCTCAAGAACGGGAACAATGTCGTACGGTGTGGCGCCAATATGCTCTCCAATAATACTTAGGGACTCCAACACACGGTCAGTGTTGATTGCATTTTGCGCCAAAAACGCCTTGAGGAAAGGCACTCCCGCCTCTGCTCGTACTATCGGCAATGATGCAGCAATGCTCGTGAGTTGCACAAATTCCTGCACAGTGACCGTTGGAAGCACACGAACAATGAGGCTCAAGACATGTTCCTGCACCTCCTCCGTCCACTGGCACTGCAGGGACGGTGTGTGCGCCAGCTTCCTCAGTCGCGTCAAAGCCATGCGCCGCTCCTTCTTCAGTTGATCTTCGTCCTCCGTCTCACGATTGTCGCTTATCCAGTGTAGCAGCTTCGTCACAACGGGACGAAATGCGGTCTGAATGAGGGAGTCCAACGCCTTGGAAGCGGCTTGACGTACACTTTCCGCAAATCCCTCTTCGTCCAACATTACCTGCATGAGAACATCTGCCCCCTCGCGGGACAAATATTCCCACTTCTTGTCCAGTACAGAGACGGGCCCTAGCGATGAAAGCCCCTGAACAGCAGCCACAAGAAGCTGCGGCGTGTCCTCTGAGCCACTCAATATTTTTACAAGAGATGTAACAATCTTTTTAAGAGCATTGCCGTCACGCACATGCTGTCCGTATTTGCTAATAAACTCAAGGGTACGCACACGGACCAGAAGCGGTGCATCCGGGCACTCCGCATCGCTCAGCGCCTGGAGTAATTCCCGCACAAAATCATTCAGCTTTACAGGATCTTCCGAAACAGCCGCCTGAAGGGTTGCGTACAACTCCACAGCGTTGCATGCGGAGGGCAATGATTCAGTCTGCGGGGATGTGGGGGGTGTTGTTGTTGTCACCTCAGCCGGGGCGCATTCTTCTGTCTCCTCTTTTGCCGCAGCAGCAGCAGAAGCGTTCTTCTTTTTGGGGGCCATGGCAAGTGTAAAAAAAAAATCCTACGCGACGGTGGATGTGTGGAGGGATAAAAGAAGGAGAAATTCCTCGCCTTTGGATTAAATATCAAAGTAAACCTCCCGGGCCGGATGGCAATGGGAACGACGTGCCACACCACCGCGGTGACCAGCCACACAAAGGCAAAGTAAAAGAAAATTTAAAAGAAAAAGAAGCTGTACTAAAGACCGGCGGCGCAGACAGCAGACCAAAACACACACACATGCACACCATAAAGAAGGACAATAAATAACGGACATGTGTGGATTCAGGTAGAACACAAGCATCCAGAGCGCGCACTTACAAAAGCAAAAAAAAAAAAAAAAGAACGTAGCCCAAAAGACCGCTAACCCACCAGCCAAACCCAATGGCTTTCTTCCCCCGCCCCAGCAGCGCCTTTTTGGCTGCCACTCATGCCTGGAGCCAAATATCTCACTCATTCTGTTTGACTGAAAGCATAATATTGTACATGTCCACGACAGCGGAGTAAAGAGCATGCGTAAACTCGTCGGCCGAGTACCGCGGTCCAAACTCTTTCCAACAGGAAACATTAAAACACAAACATTTTCTTTCCGACGCGTAGCCAATACCATATCCGGGACTTACAGGGCCAAAACCACCGCCAACAAGGGCGTCCGAGCGAAGTGTCGACGTGCTCATCATGTTGCTACCAAGTGTTTTGTATGAGGGATCTAAAAATAAATCCGGTATAGAATTCGGGTTGCGGCGCAGCGCCACATTCTGTAGAGCGAACAAATGGCGATCCAAACCTTCACCCATTTTGGCATTTTTGGAAATCTGCAAGTGCTTCTTCGCCGCCTTTAAAAGCGCTTCAAATTTTTCGTTGGTGGTGGCACGCGGGTTATCCATCAAAATTGTAAAGGCCTGACTTTCAATCGTCGCGGAACGAATACATTCCGTACGGCCGTGAAGATATGCCGCGGTACTGGCGCTCTCATATGTGCTGACTGTACTCTTGTACAGGCGCCACCAAGCCAGTTGCATTGCCAACTGCAAAAACGGGTCAACTTTTATTGGACCCTTGCGGAATACGGGATCGGATGATCCAATCTCATTTACAAGACATGAGCAACAGTCCATCCGGCGAATATCCGCATCGATGCGTCTCTTTGCCTTGGCACCCTCCTGCTCCAGTTTGGGTGTCAAGCACCATTTTAACTGCCTCACTCCCTCTGTAGGAGCTGCATCGTGACGCATGCTTCTGCGGCTGCGCATGATCGAATGATTAAAAACGTCTTGTGTGTACCGTAGCACCGCAACCCCATCCCCCCAACTATGCTCAAAGTTGATACCAAGAAAACCATCTTTTGTTACAATAACCGACAGACTTTTGTCCCACCAGCGATTCACGTTTCTTACAAGCATCACACGAATCGTTTCGACAGCGCCACGAGAAGTCAAAAAGTCCACTTCCACATCATCGTCAAGGTTCAATACAAACATAGCTGAATCCAGCAGTTCAAAGCTTTTTTGATTCTCGCTATCACGCAACATTTCCGTGCGCACGGAATGCCACGTTGTTCTGTCAGTAGACGTAAAGACCCCAATGTCCACCCTTGGAGGCATTGGATTCAAATCTATGATGGCTTTCAGTCTCGCATAAATCTGCTCCTCTGGAAGCGGTCTACACTCGCTGTCAGCAACAGTCACGACGTACTGGTGGCCACGGAACTGCACAATAATATGTGGTGCAAAACCGAATCCCCTAACCTCATCCTTAATCAATCCTGGTATACGAGTAGAATTCATCAAATTAGCGTACTGTGACATGTCCAGTGGAAAGGCGTGAAAATTAGAGCCAAACACGCACACTTTTGCGGAAATGCTCCTTGGCGAAAGCGCCACCGTGCGTTCAAACCAATCTTTCCTGCTGTAATGATCTCTTGAACCAAAATTGAATATATCAGGCTTCAGGGTATTTTCAAGATACATGCGGTAAAAGGCCACACTGCTCGTAATCCAGAACGTAGCACGAGTAAGCATATCCCCTTTGTCCGGGTCTCGTCGTGTAATAAGACATGGATTCGTATTCACCGGTAACGGTTTTCGATCCAATAGATACAAATCAAACCAGTCCGCGGAAATGTAAGAGGTGTGCTTGTTTGCCTTGTCCGTACGCACCAACTCCTCGTGCAAGCTAAGTCCTTCGCCCGACTCAAAGTCCTTTACAATTTTGGACGTTGTATCAAATTGTTTGGGTGTTACCAAAGGCTTGACGGCGTCCAGGTAGCGGGAGCATGTGCTCTTTAGTTTTGGAATGGGAAGGCGAAAAAGACTTCGCTGTAGGTGCCGCGTTGGTATGATGGAGGCATCCAGGACTCCGGTGTCTGTGCAGGCTCCTACTGTGAAGCCTTCCAAGTACTGCCGTAGTCGTGACCAATCGTGGATGTCCTTTGGCACTGCAATTGGAGCTGTCGCAATGCACAGCACAAACGATCGGCGTAACATCCAACCCTCCCTCTCTCCTGCGTATTGTTGTTGCTGTTTTCTTTTTTATTTATTTATTTTCTCTTCACTGCTTCTTTTCCGTGAGTAGTGTGTTTATGTGCAGCCACTTCATTTTTAGCGTCACATATTCATGGATGTGAAAGAAAGGCAGAAAAAAAAAAGAAGAAACAGAAGAAAAACAGGAACAGAGAAAGCCTCACCTCGTACATGTATATGTATACACATATGAAGAACAAATGCGGCAGTCTAAAACGGTAGCAAGAAAGCATTCCAGTGGCTTCTACAAAAATAAAATAAAATAAAATTGAATGCTCATTATGGGTTTCACTATGGTCGCCTTGCAAAGTTACTTCAAGTTCGGCGCATAATCACCGTGGCATTCCTCAAATTAGCAACGTCAATCGTCAGAGAACGATCCGTCAATGGACGCGGAGGGACGTCACGGGCAATGAGTTGAAAGGCCAACGCCCCCGGTTGTGCGTGCCGCGCCGCCAAAAAGAAAACATCCCCAACGGTGTGGCGATTGGGGTTTACCCTAAACTCTTTGCGCTCCCCAATAAGATTCACAATCGCCAGCTTTGTCACCTCCTCGTCCTCATGAAGCTCGAAATTGTCGCTCATATTCACAGGAGTGGCATCCGTACCTGTTTTCGCCACAGAAGAGGCGGCTGGTGCAGTCGTTGACGTATTGGAATCAAGTCTGTGGCCCTCCCCGGCAAAGGGTAAGAAAGTTGGCGGAGCATCCTGTTGGGTACAGTCAACCAGTCGTACAGAAATGCTTGTGTTGGGGTAAATTGCGGCAATTCCTTCAGGCACCACACCCGCCTCCAGCGCCTTGAAAAACGCCATGCCTTCTTCGCTTTCCTTCGGCATTCGCGGTCCATCGTCAACACGATAGCTGTCACGGTACACTGTGAGCACAATTTCTCGTCGCGGTTTCAGCGTGGACTCAATAAACGGACTTTCCGACGTTGTATGGCCAAGACGTCGTCCACGGCCAAAAAAGAACTGCGCCTCAGCACCCTCCTCACCCAACTGCTGACGCGCCTTGTCAAAAAGAGACTCGATGACGTTATCTACCCCTCCATCCCCGCCAATTACCTCCTGTCCGGACGACGAACCTCCGCCAACAAAATACTTTTCGGTCATTTTCTTGCCTTCCGCCTTCTTGGCTCCCGTTTTCTTCCTCTGATCCGCTGGTGATGGTGACGCTTGCGGCTCCCCTTGGCTAGAGGCTGCCTCCTCGAGAAACCGCATGACGCTCTCTGCGTCACCACCATAGTTTTTTAACAGTTTCAGAGCCTCCTCCCGCTGCAGCCAAGGCATAAACGCTATGAGTGTCGCCACCTCATCGTCTTCATTTTTTGGCATGCTTTTTCGTTTGCCCTTTTTTTTTTTCTCTCTCTCTCTGTGTAAGTATGTATGTATCCACCCTTGTGTCGTCGGATGACTTCTCTCTCTTTCCCCTTGATTTATTTGTTTGTTCTTGTTGTTGTTGTTGATGTTGTTTTCCCCTTTGAATTACAGTTGAGGCTAATAAGTACGCCTTCTTTCCCCCTTTGAAATTTTTTCGGGCCTCCCCTGCGTGTGCGCGCGTCCTTCCTTTCGTTCCAGGAATATTCTTCTGTGTTTTTTTCTCTTGATTTAACCCACTGGTTTCACTGCTCAGGGCCGCGGCAAACCAGTCCGCACCGTGAATTCGCCGTGAGGGAAAAAACAAAAAAGAAATAGAAAGCAAAAGAAAAGGCAAAAGAAATACATGTATGCATGCTGTACACATATTTATATATAGAGTGTGTGTGTGTGTGTGTGTGTCAAATTAAATACATACGGGGGAATTAACGCCATGACCGTACACATGGCACTAAATTAAATGGCATGGGAAGGGGTTGCCGCACCTCAGTGCCCTCTCTTCGGGTAGTCGTGATGTTCAAGGCGCAAGCAGGAAAAAAGATATATATATATATATATGTAAACATCACCACGTCTCTGCACAAGTTTTTGTTTGTTTGTTTGTTTTTTTAAACGACACGCATTACGGGAAACAACGACAGTGGTATTCCTTCCGTAAAGAGATAAATAGATATACCGCAACTGACTCCAAAGGTCCGTCCACTTCACCCCACTTCTCACGTTTTTTTTTCACTTTTTTCCCCTCTTCTATTCCTGTTTGTTTGTTTGTTTGTTCTCTTCTCTTTTCTTCCTTTTTGGTGTTGGGAATGGAAGGAATTCTATTTTGCCATCATGTCGCATCTCCACAGCCGCCGCTGAAAGCCGAAACGGAAAATAAAATAAAATAAATGCGCCCACACACGCACACTCATAAATAAAAAACAGGAAAAACTTAAATCCAGTGTAATCATCAACGCAGCAGAAAATCTGTCAAAAAAAAAAAAAAAGAAAAAAAAAACAGCAGCGATCACACCGTCCTTTCAATGCATCTTGCATGCATAAAACCCTCTTTTTATATAAATATATATTTATATATTTATTTATATTTATGTACATATAAGCGTTGAGAAGTTAAACAGGCAATACATCTTATCATTACTGTTATTATTTGGCATTATCGTTATTTATCGTGCCGGTTACCACATCTCTTCTGAGACGCTTTTATTTTTCAGTATTTTTAACTTCTGTCGTTTTAAAATAAGTGTGGAAGAAATATATATTTTATATTTTATATTATATTTTTTTTTTTTTTACCTTC